ATTGGAAATTTGCGAAATTGAAATAGACAATATTGGCCCATTCCTTCGGGACCTACTCCATAGAGGATCAATAATTTGACTCACCATAGCAGAAGTCAAAATATATTTAAATACTCGAACATTGACTGAGGGCATAGACAAATAAGATATAGACAACGAAAAGTTAGATTTGTCTTTTTATCCAGATGGCCCTCATCATGTTTTGCATAATCAACATGCTGATTTACGCGTTCAACCCACTCGACTTCGAAAACACATTTTATCGTTTTTCAAGATGTTCACTTGATTATTCCGGAATTTTTCGATGTCATCACGTACTTTTCACATTTATTTAATTATGGAACAATTTTCAACTGCAAATATTCTACAGTTTTTGTTATTTTTAACGTTTTAAAATTGAGTGACTTCAATATTCTCACTCAAACCCCTGAAACGATATAAACGACATCTGCTGATTCGATTTTGTCTCTCAAAGATAAACTGTCAGAGCATTTCGTTGTCTATATCTTCATTTATCTATGACTGTTATCTGCTATATCCAATGCACGCCTTTACAGTGAACCACTCCTGTGAGTAACCACCATAAAAAGTCATTAAAGGAGACTAACGAGAGAGGGATTTGAACCTGTCTGTTACGCAGACGATTTTATAATACTTCTGAGGGTAGAAAATCAAACGTGCTATGTAGAAGTGCCAAATTGGTTCTGAAGATAGCTTACAATTGGGCCAAACCAAAAAAGACTACATGTAAACCCGGAAAGCGAAACTATGTCTTTTCACTTCGAAGACTGATGTTGGTCACCTAAATGAACCAGTCTTTCAAAATAAGACAATTAGTATCTCCGGTAAAGACAAATACATGGGAGTAATACTGGAAAAAAAAAAAAACAAGTAAAAAAGCAGCTAAGTTCTACCGGGCCGAATTTTTAATACCCTTCACCATTTGGGAGGAACTTGAAAAATTTTCAAAAAAACTTCCGGAGACTACCACTTAATTGAAAACTGTTATATGGAGACTATACGAAGACGTGGACCTGCTTACGAAATTTTTTTGCCATAGGCTGTAGTACCCATTACGAATTTTAAATACGAAATTTGTTACAATTCCGGTGAATAATGTCCCACAAATCATAAAAATACCGAGTATTGGGAGGTACCGGCATATAGGGGCTATACGAAGATGTGGGCCTGCATACAAAATTTTTGTCATAGGCTGTAGCACTAGGCTTACGGACTTCAAATACGAAATTAGAAATAATTCCGGTAAATAATGTCGCTAAAATCACGAAAACACCGAATATTGGGAGGTGCCGTTTTATAGGGGCAATACGAAAACGTGGACCTGCATACGAAATTTTTTTTTCTATAGGTTGTAGTAACCATTAAGATCTCCCAATACGAAATTTAACAAGTAAAAAAACATTAATTTCGGCCGGGCCAAACTTTTAATACCCTCCACCTTAGGGTAAAAGAAACATTTGAAGAAATGTGACAAAAACCATTAAAATTCCGAATATCGGGAGGTACCGTTATATGGGGGCTACACCAAAAGGTGGACCTATAATTACAATGTTTTGCCACACGAACTAGAACCCATTATGACTCACAAATACCAATTTTTAGACAAATCAGTGAAAAAATGTGGCAAAAACCATAAAAATACCGAATATCGGGAGGTACCGTTATATGGGGGCTATATCAAATCATGGACCCATGCATGCAATATTTTGCCACCGAAGCTGGAACCCATTATGACCAACAAATACCAATTTTCAGACAAATCCGTGAAAAAATGTGGCAAAAATCATCCAATTACCGAATATCGGGAGGTACCGTTATAAGGGGGCTTTACCAAAACGTGGACCTACACATGCAATGTTTTGCTACACGCTCAGGGACCCATTATGACCCACAAATACCAATTTTTAGACAAATCAGTGAACAAATGTGGCAAAAACCATCAAAATACCGAATATCGGGAGGTACCGTTATATGGGGGCTATACCAAATCATGGGCCCATACACGCAATGTTTCGCCACCGGAGCTGGAAACCATTATGACCCACATATACCAATTTTTGACAAATCCGTGAAAAAATGTGGCAAAAAAAAATTAAATACCGAATATCGGGAGGTACCTTTATATGGGGGCTATACCACAACGTGGACCTATACATGCAATGTTATGCCACACGCTCAGGGACCCGTTATGACCTACAAATACCAATTTTCAGACAAATCCGTGAAAAAATGTGGCATAAATCATCAAAATACCGAATATCGGAAGGTACCGTTATATCGGGACTATACCAGAACGTGGACCGATATATCTCATTTTCAATACCAACCATCCTAGACACAATGCAAATAGCTCTGCTAACGTCAAATAATGTGGGCTGTATCGTGATTTCAACAGACAGACAGACGGACAGACAGACAGACAGACGGACATCGTTAGATGTCAGAATTTTATGCTGATTATGAATATATATACTTTATGGGGTCTAAGACGAATATTTAAGGATGTTACAAACGGAATGACAAAGTTAATATACCCTCCTTTCCAAGGTGGAGGGTAAAAAAAGATTCCTGTGAATAGTTTTGCTAAAATCATATAAATACCGAATATCGGGAGCTACCGTTATATGGGGCCTATACGAAAACGTGGACCGACATGGTCAATTTACCAACTTAACCTACTGGTAAATTATGCATGTATGCAAAATTTTAGCCTTCTTTCTTAATTCGTTCGAAATGTAGCGTGATTACAATAGACGGACAGACCGACGGACACCGCTAAATGGTCTTAGAATTTTACCCTGATCCAGGATATATACTTTGTACGGTGTATTATGAATATTTCGAAGACTTACAAACGGAATGACAGAGTTAATATACCCTCTATAGAATGGTGGAGGGTATAAAAAGGACCGCTTTTGTGACTTGGTCGTGAGCTAAAATCTTCGTCCAACAATTTTCTTATTGCTATCAGTAATATTGCCGAATACACTATATACATAAAATGAGAGAATTCCAAGGAATCTTAATTAAAAAAAAAACAAGTAAGCAAAGGCTACAGTCGAGCGGGGCCGACCGTTGAATACCCTACAACACTATAATAAATGATACAATTTATATAGGCCAGATACTCGAAAGAATTCCACAAGATATTGTGACAAATAATAAAAGAAAACCATCAGGTTTCGTTCTCTGATTTTCGAATAATAGCAACTTAAACTAATTTGCTCATTTCCAATTTATTGGTAGATGTTGCACGTAAATGGTCTTCCTAGATCTGGAACCAATATTTTCCAAAGACCTATAATCTCTCAAAAGTGGCAAAAGATTAACATTTATTATTGGTTTTTGACTGAAACGCATCTATATGAGATACAGCCATTTGACTATATTCTTCAACTAAATCAGCGTTAACGAAATAGTCAGAAGTGCGTCTTTCTTGTATTTGTGAATTCTCCAAGAAGTCACTGGAATGAACATTTTCGTATTTTGTCTACAAAAGTTGGCAAACTATTTCACACATTCAATATTTTTGGATGGCCATCCAAAACTGCTTGGCTTTTGCAATGTCCGGTAACCCCCATTCAAATGTGCCTGAGGATGGGGCGATAATTACGACCTACTGACAATTTTGCAGTTTTTTGGTCCATTTCAACCCCTAAATATATGGCGATCATCACCAAAAAGAGTAGGCTTCTATTCTGACCCTCATCTTATCCCCATGCGAAATTTCGTAAGGATCGGGCCATAAATGCGATCTGTATATGATATCCTGATATCCTAACTACTTAGTTTTGTTAGCTGTAGAAATATTACCAAATGTTTAATTCAAAATGAAAATATGCCAAAAATATGACAAAATTGAAAAAATATGAGAAAATTTTACAAAATCAATATTTTCATTTTAAAGATATATTTTTATGCGATTTTTTTAGACATTTTTTCTTTCCTGCCAAGAGCCCATTCTGGTCCATTTCAACCCCTAAACATTTGGCGATCATCTCCAAAATAAATAGGCTTCTATTCTCGCCCTAACCCCACCTTCGTGCAAAATTTCGTTAGGATCGGGCCATAATTGCGACCTGTAGCGTGATTACAAATTAACATGGACAGACGGACAGACAGACGGACGGACATACATAGCTAGATCGACTCAGCTCGGCGAGCTAGGAAGATCTATATATACTTTCCTATGTGGGAAACCAATATTTCGAGGTGTTACATAAATTCTGGCCCAATCAAACCTATAATACCCCCAACACATAGTGTTGTAGGGTATAAAAATGAGAAAGAGGGGGATCTTGCCCCACTATTTAGGTTACTTTGCGAAGAAAACATACAAAACGCCGATACACGCTCTTAGCTCTACTTTTGTAATCGAGTGTTTCCAGTAATTTTCTTTGTGATGCACAGTGTGTTAGCTTTCTTAGCAGCCCTGGTATAACATGGATTCTTCTAATAAAATAACCTTGACCATATGCAAAATTTTTGGAATTCAAATATTTAATTTTGCATGTGCGGGATATTTTTGTTTAATTTTTGATATCAGCTGTTAAATGATTGTTTCAGTTTGGATGTGTTTTCTATATTATTATTTTTTGTTTATATTAGGTTCATCTCAAATGAAAAAAAAACACTCAAATATACCTACTCAAAATAAAAGAAAATATCTATCAAATATGTTATATGTACATTAATAAATCAATATCCATTTTAATATGAAAAGTTGATATCTTTACACGGGTATATTCATGCCTCTTCGTGAGCGACCCTCTCTGATACACAACATTATTTCTTCGCTTGTTTTTCGAAATACTGTCTATTGAATAGCTTGTATGTAGAATACTTTTTGTTTTGATTTCTGATCTACTCATTTTGTTTTTGCACTCAAGAGTTGTATGTATCGTCGATCAAGTTCCACATTCAAACAAAAGGCAACAACAACAATGTATGTGTTTGTTTAACAAAACAGACAGATTGCTGGAAAGAAAATACAAAATTTTGTCTCAGCATGAGTTGTTATTCAAAATAAAATATATTCGTGTTCAGTAGTTAATTACGGTTAGTCCAAGTGACAATTGTTTCAAAATTTGTGCATATAACAATCTAAAGAGTAATATTTCCAATTCATAATGCCAACCGGTGAGTTATTAATTTTAGTGAACAAGTGTGAAGTGTTGATTTTTATGAAAATAATAATTTAGAAAAGTTCGTCACCAATAAATGAAAAAAAGTTTGATTCTGGCCGAATTTTTAATATTTTCAAAAAAAAAAACAAGTAAAAAAGCTGTATGTTCGGCCAGGCCGAACTTTTAATACCCTCCGCCATTTGGTACAAATTTGGCAATTCCCAAAAAAAAAAAGAAATAAATAAAATCCGTGAAAATTCTGTTAAAATCTCAAAAATACCGACGTAGACCTGCATAGGCAACTTTTGTCATAAGTTATTACAATATTTACATGCGAAACTTGAAGAAAAATCTGTTTATGATGTAGCTAAAATCATCAAAATGCCGAATATAGGGGGTACTGTTATGTGGGAGCTATACGAAGACATGGACCTGCACAGACAATTTTCTGGCATGGGCTGAACTATCCATTACGAACTTCACATGCGAAATTAAAATACCGAATTTCGGAGGGGGTATGCTATATGGGGGCTATACGAAGACGTGGACCTACATGGCCCATTTTCTGTTTTATGCTGCAGTATCCATTACGAACTTCAAATGCCAAATTTTAAACAATTCCGGTGAATAATGTCGATAAAATTATCAAAATACCGAATATCGGGAGGTACCGTTATATGGGGGCTATATGATAACATGGACCTACATGGCCCATTTACGAACTTAACCTACCTACTGGAAAAATAAACATGTGTGCAAAATTTTAGCCATCTATCTCAATTCATTCGAAAGATAGCGTGATTACAACAGACGGACAGACAGACAAACAGACAGACGGACATGGCTAAATCGTCTTAGAATTTTACGTTGATCAAGAATATATATACTTTGTTGGGTCTGACATGAGTATTTCGAGGAGTTACAAACGGAATGACAAAATTAATATACCCTCCATAGTATGGTGGAGGGTATAAAAAATATTAAAGTAAATGAAAACATTTTAACGAGTAAACTTTCTACATCTTTGAAAACCGAAATTCAACATTATTTCACATGGTTCGCTGACAAAGGATGCCGCAATCCAATCAAATTTTTAAATATTTGTCATTATACCCTACACCACACTGTGGCCAGGGTATTATGTATCTGTGCATTTGTTTGTAACATAGAGAAGAAATCGAGTTGGACCCATAATTCCTTTTGATGATCTGCATAGAATCACATTCTGAGTCGATCTGTCAATGTATTTTTGTAAACAAAGTAGAGGTCAAGATAAAACTTTGCATAAAACATTAGTTTGACACAAGAACGGGCCCTATTGAATTTGGAAATAATCGTTCGAAATTCAGATATATGGCTACCATATATATCTTCTTCTAATATTTATATTCTAATATTAGGCCAAATAGGATGGAATACCCTAGAAATAAGTGTGTCAAATTTGGTAGACATCGATTCAGATATAGCTATAGCTCCCCTATATATTCTTCATCCGATTTGATAAATTTCTCCTCTACAACCGTAATATGTACTCCGTAACAACGATATTCGGAATACAGCTCAGAAAGACATTTGCCAAATTTTATCGACATTGATTCAGATTGGATAAAGCTGCCATATATATCTTTACTCGCTTTATCGCTTTATTGTGCACCAAGGTCCAAGGTCTGCGGCCAAAATGCTTGCGTGCCCAAGACTTTAATACACCCTCCAGAATATTTTCGCGTTAATATTCGGCATTTATTCTGATGCCACGGTTGATTAATACGAGCGGAGAGCGACCATCGTCTGTTATAACGACCCACACCATCACCATGGCCATGGCTTGAGTTCTGGTGGCCAACCGAAGGTGCACATTCTCAGCTAACCTCTTTGGCAAGTAAACACGATCATTTTGTTTGTTTACAAACTGCTGGACAACGAGTGTTTTCTCATCGTAGAAAACCAAATTCGGCAGTTCAGCACTTTCGGCCAAACGAAGCAACTCTTTAGCTCTTTTGAGTTTATTTTCTTTCTGTTGCGGTATAAGTTCTTGCACTTTTTGGAATTTCAATGGCTTTACCCCGAGCTCATTTTTCAATATTTGCCGAATGGAATATTGCGATATGTTCAACTCACGAGCCATTTTTCGGCCACTGCGACGCGGGTTTCGATCAAGTCGCTTCCATACTTTTTTGGAACCATTTCTGCTGATGTTGCTGTTTTTTCCGTCCACTTCCTTGGCGTCGGGCTACGCTACCAGTATCATGGTAACGAGCGATGGTACGAGACACAAAAGATTTATTCACATTTAAATGCTGAAATGCTCTAACGATAGCCACCTGTGACGCTTGAATTCCATTACGAATAACTTTTTTCTTAAAAATTCTCACCAAAAATGCTTTTGTACGCTTGTAAAAAATATGAGCTGAGCTGTCACTGGAATAATTTTAACAGCCGTCGTAAGAGTGACTTAGGAATGACAGCAGTCTAAAGTTGGTTGAAGTTTTTTCATCTCACCCTGTATACCTGTCATCCATATGTTTCATCGATTGCAAACGAAATGACAAATTTAACGTAAATGAAAAACTAACTAAAGTCATTAATATTGTATGTATATGTACTATATGTATGACCTTATACCTCAATGCCCTTTTTGGAACCCAACTACAAATTAGTACTCACACTTGCTATAACATTGCATATGGAGAATAAAATTGAAAGTGCGATTATTTGTTTGCTCAAAAATGAATCATCGATCGTTTTTGCATTCTGTTCTGTGCAAAGTAAACACAAGCGTATCAGCCAGTGGTTGTTTTTAAGGTATACCCAATTGCATGTGGATCTAAGTAGCATAAGACACTTATTTGAATCATAACATATATTCATCAAATATTAAGAATTTACTTGTTATTAGTAACAAGTAAAAAAGCTGTAGGTTCGGCCGGGCCGAACTTTGAATACCCTCCACCATTTGGAACGAATTTGGCAATTCTCAAAAACAATAAAATCCGTTAAAAATTCTGTTAAAATCTTAAAAATACCGAAAGTAGCTGTTACATTAGGGTCTATACGACGACATGGTCCTGCATAGATAATTTTGGTCATAAGCCATTACAATATTCAAATGCGAAACTTAACAAAAAAAATTTGGTGAATAATGTACCTAAAATCATCAAAATATCCAATATCGGGAGGTACCGTTATAAGGGGGGCTATACAAAGACGTGGACCTGCACAGACAATTTTCTGTCTTTGGCTGTAGTATCCATTACGAACATCAAATACCAAATTTGAAAGAATTCCGGTGAATAATGTCGCTAAAATCAACAAAGTACCGAATATCGGGGGCTATACGAAGACGTGAACCTGCCCAAACTATATACTTAGTATAAGGCTTAATGTTCCCAGCGAACATTTTCGCTGGGAAGTAACATACATACACTGACCACTTTCATGGCACACATAGATATTTGTATATATATTTTCGTTAATTCGATTTAGATGCGAATTAGTGGAATGACAACGGATAGTGAATTGAGTTAGCTTATGTCATCGACGAACGGACATACTGACAAACAATGCCAAATGGCTACAAAATGCGAATTCACATACACCTACCAATTTCGGCCACAACAAATATTAAATTAACAATTCCAGAAATGACGTAGTCTGAGAGAGAAGAGAGAGATTTAAAGACGGCGATCGGAGGAGAATTTTAATATTTGTAAACAAATACCAGTTTTTATGGCAAGTTTTAAAAAAAAATTTTCACAATATTTAAAAATTCTGTGGAATGTGTCTGAGATAACAATATCATTTGTTTAAAATTATTTTGGGGCATAACATGACAACGAATGAAAACATGTATTTGTTTTTTTATTTCGGAAATATGCCACATTGATTAGGCTAGAATTTTGGATTGTTGACTAGTAAAACTGGTAAACGAGCCACATGTGAAATCACTCGCAGAGAAAGTAGTTCTATCCCAAAGTAATCCTCTACTAGGGAGAATCCAGAAAATAGAAAACAATTGCAAATAATTTTGATGATTGTAGGCAAATTTTTCAATAAAAATGTCTGAAAATCCACAAAAGGAGTTCCTTCTGAGCACTTTACCCCCTGGGAGAGTATTGTCTATATACGTCCATGATCTCGTATATCCCCCATATAACATACCTCCCTATACTCGTTATTTTTTTTTTTTCAATGGAATTGTCTAAAAACCCCTACTAGAAGTTCTTTCTAAGATCTTTACCCTTTGGAAGAGAAATGTCTATATAGGTCCACGATATCGTATAGCCCACATACAACGGTACCACCCGATATTCGATATTTTGACGATTTTAGGGACATTATTCACCGAATTTGTTTCAAATTTCGTATTTAGAATTCGTAATGGGTACTACAACCTATGACAAAAATTTGCCTATGCAGGCCCACGTCTTCGTATAGCCTCTATGTAACGGTACCTCCCAATATTCGGTATTTTGTTGATTTAAGCGACATTTTTCACAGGGGTTGTTTCAAATTTCGTATATAGAGTTCGTAATGGTAATGGGAACAGGTGTTCGTATAGGTCCCATATCAGTATTTTTCCACCCTATATTCGGTATTTTGATGATTTTAGCAATATAATGATTCAAACAGAATTTTTAACGAATTCAATATTTTTGAAATTTTTCAAATTCGTTCCAAATGGTGGAGGTTATTCAAAGTTCGATCCGGCCGAACTTACTGCGTTTTTAATTTTTTTTTTTTTTGTTGAGATTTTTCGTCGGACTGAAGCACACTTAGAATGTTAATCCTCATTATTTTATTATTCTCTTTCCCCCTATAGTCAATACCCCCGACAAATTGGAATATCAATTCTTTCCGGCCAACAATTATGTATTCACTTTTAAGATACGTGCACCCAATGATGCTCATTTGGCTTTGACTGCTCAGCCGGCCGAAAGTTTTCCCATGTATGAGGTGTTCATTGGTGGCTGGGGCAATACGAAATCGGTAATACGTCAAAATCGTCAAAAACCCGACGTAGTGGAAGTTCCAACACCGGGCATTTTAAATGCCAATGAATATCGTGGCTTCTGGATTCGTTGGTACGATCAAACAATTACAGTGGGTCGTGAAGGTGAAGCTGCTGCATTTATGACCTTTCATGATCCTCATATGTTCCCGATTCAATATGTGGGTATATGTACTGGATGGGGTGCCTCAGGCTCGTGGACTTTTGAAGGTAAGCATAGAAACAAAAATAAATTTGTTCTATTGAACGTCGAAACCCATTATTCAAAAATCTCTTCTTTTTAGCAGAACCAGCCCCCACAGCTCCTTCGATGACAATGCATAACGCTCCACAAATGAATTACAATCAACCACCACCCGGCTTCAATCCAGCCGCCATGGGTTATCCTCCAATGCCACCAATGAATGCTGGAGCCACCACCATGAGTTATCCAAGCGGTGGCGCTTCTGAGACTTGGGTACCAGCATCCAATGGAGTGGTACCGCCTAATGCTGTCTCAGGTGGCATTGATGGTAGCGACAATTTATATATTGCTCGTGCCCGTCACAGCAATGATTTAATACCCGGCAAATTACATCCATCTCACGGTTGTTGCTATGTCCCCTATGGTGGTGTGGAACATAGCCACAAGGAATATGAAGTGCTGTGTAACAGCTATGGTCGCTGGGTACCCTGGACTGGTAGTATGCCACCAAATGCAGTTATTGGTGGTCAGACGGCCGAGGGAGAACCACTTTATATTGGTCGTGCCCAGCACGGCGGAACCACCACTGTGGGAAAAGTACAGCTATCGCATGGTAGTTGTTACATACCCTATAATGGCGAAGAAATGGGTTTCAAAGAATTTGAAATCTATGTTTCTCAGTAAATTTGGGGAATACTGTTTTAATTACAAAACTCTTATGAATCTCCAATTGAGGAATCTCTTATTAAACACTATATAAAATTTGTATTATATATCTAACCATTTTATTAATTATTTCAATAAAGTATGTGTTTTATTCACATATACCAGTTATGATTTCGACTTTTAGATGATCCACAAATTTCATTCAATAAACAATTTTCTATAATAAACATTTTTACAATTAATATTTGTTACGTATTCCTGATTGGCGGCGTTAAAAGTGACCCTCCGGCTGCTAGCGGTCTCGGGGTCTGGTTCTCAACCGTCACTTTGTAACACCTCAGGACGAACACGAAATTGGAACTTTACACATCACAAATACAATACACTACACAAACACAACACCTACTCAGACAAGGGAGAGTTGATGTTTCTACTCCCGCATTCGCCCACCCTTCCATGGTCTTCAGGGTTCCTTTTTAAAGTAATTTTTTTGAAGACCCCACACACACTCACCTCTTTACCTAGCTGGAAAATTGCCCTATTAACAAAAATTTAACACATAGTTTATTTTTAGTCTAATTCTAATCACAACATTATTTATTGACAGAAAGGACTTACAGCTAAATACAGATAAATTTTGTCGATCTTTAAAACGGACAATCTAACACCAGATTAAAAAAAATTGTAAACATATGAAAAATAGCAAATTTTCCTTGTGAGAAACCTAGGGAATTTGGTCTGCACTTTTCAGACCTCAAATTCTAAACAAAATATTACCTACTGTAAAGGAGCTCTCTTACAACGGCCTCACTAGCCAAAATTGGCTCGAATTGAAACATACGACTACACCCTCTAGCTTTCCCTGGATATTGCTCATATAGTACTAGGTGAAATTTAAAGGAAACTGGCGTTAAACATCCTTACATTAAAACATTAAGAGAGGACATCACAACACATACTTATACTATTCAATTAAATTTGCAATATGTTTATATTAAAATAATTTGCATGTCTATCAATATTTTCCTATCGTTATTTAAATTAATTTTTTTTTTGTTTTTTTTTTTTTTTTTATTATTATGATTTTTTTTCAAATAAATTTTCTTAATTTGTCGATTTCTCTTTCTTTTTTAGTTGCAATTCCCTGGATATTCTTCCGTGCTCCAAAACATGGATAAAGAAAAAGGGTGTCTATTACCTGGTCATTAATTACGTGGCAAAATATTAATTTTTATGCCATAGGAGATGACACCTTGCGATCAAAAAAAAATCTCCAGCTTGTGGCCATCCGATCAATTTTGACCCAAATTCCGCTGCCTCAGATACGGACACCAAACAGAAGTATGACACCAAACAGGGAGACCTTCAAATTCAACGGCCAATTTAAACCCAAGGACCGGGCATTTAACACCAGATCCCCACTCAGCAGTCAGTGGAGACCAAAAAAAATATTGTGATTTTGGGGAACCTTTATATATAAAAAAAATACAAAAATAAAAATGTTGTTTGCTTTCCCACTGTCACTAGTATGATGTTCTCACTTTTTGTTAACAAGTAAACACACATATAAATATTCACTTTTTTTTTAGTGTTAAAAACTACTTTGGACCGTCTTCTTGCTTAGATCTTTTGCAACACTATGTTGCCAATTTTCCTATTTTCCCCCTTTTTATAGTCGCTTCATTTTGCCACCATTTTTCCTAAAATTTCCAATATTTATTATGGACCTTATTGATGGCGATAGGGTAGCTACGAAATGGCTACTCAGCCATGGTTGTATAAATCCGTAGCCAAATAACGATTGAACGATCCCTATTCTTTTATAATGGCAACGCCATCCATTTCCTTCTTGTCATTTTCTTTTTCATTTCGCCTGATGCGCAACAGCATCTAACTTTAAAATTTTATTTTTCTGAATCGGGTCTCTGAGCTATTTCTCTTTTCAAAGAAATAGCTACTGGGGTAAGTAAACAAATGGCATATTTTAAAAACAATGTAAAAACTATTTACATTGAATTTTCCAGGTAAGCCATGTAGCCTACACGCCCCCTGATGGCCCACCCGACGCAACAAAACTTCGACCCTTTGCTGAGTTAATTTTGCAAAGGTCGACGTGCGGAAGGTTTTATTATTCCACGTGGGGAACTCCCACAGCCCTGAAGTCTCATGGCCGGGCATTTCTGGAACTTCAATGGTAAGCATACCCTTTTGGAACCGTGAGATTTGTTCAACGGTACTTTGTGTGGCGTCATTTTTTTAATGTATGCACACATATACATGTATGCGTTATGGTACGACCCGTCGCCCCATACGTTTATGCGCATATAGCAAGGTGGCAACCTTAGTTTCTACAATGTTATCCATTCACGCTGAATGAAATGTTGATGAATGGAAATAAGAAGAAGACTGTTTTTATTTCTCTTCTTTATTCATACAGACGTGTTTGCCGACATAATTGAAAAATTCCAGATTACACCTGAATTATTTGGAGAATTTTTTTGATTTGAAGCACCCGAACAATATTTAAGGAGACTGTGAGTATAATTTATATATTTTTATTTATATCTACCCCCATATTAATGCATATTTTTTTAGGTTACTCGGTTCGACTGGGATATGAGTAAAGTTCCTTAACATGGATTTCTTCAGTGTCATTTGGCAGAATTTGTAGTGTGCAGAAAGTGAAATGCGTACGTTCTACCAAACTTGTGTGGTTATTGTTTGGCCGTGAGTGAGCTGTGGTGATTCCTTTTTAATTTTTGGGTAAAATCCCCATTTGGGCTACACCAACCATCATTGAATGGTGTATGGTGTATTCAATGATTTTATTCAGCCCTCCAACCACTACGTACTCCTTTGGGTTTATGAAATTGTAAGTTAAACCTTTACTGTTTATAAATGCCGTAGTAATTTTAATTTTTTTTTTCAGATACTGCTGAGTCGGGGGTCATATTATTGTTATTGTCCGGTCATTAAAAATTAGTTATACTGCGCTTACTTATTTTTGAACAAATTCCTGCCTAACATGAACTTGTTTTGCTCCAAATCTTTCGGAATTGTGTGTTTATATGGATAAAAGCATGGTATTCGTAAAATAGAAAACTAACTATCGCGCAATAAAGCGTCTGTCCCTGGTGTAAGTGGAAAACCGTGAGTATATTTATTACTTTTTTTTGCTTTACAAAAAAAAAAAACATTGTCTAATTTTTGTGTACATATTGCAGACGTCCCAGAACAAAACATGAGGTGGCTAATATGGGATCAATCTGCGGTGGAAGTGTTGATTTTATATTTATTTTTCCCCCATCGAAATTTTATCCATGTGAAGGAGTTATTTTACCATGATATGTACAGGTGAGTGATACATTTCTGAAATTGTTTTTAGGCAGTTTAACTTGTTAGGAGTTAGGAGGTGATTTTTTTAGCCTTTTTATATAAAAGCAGAGATGTTTTTATTGGCCTAATAAATATACAAAATAATGTTCAAAGTATTTTAAATCTCTTGAGATTTATATTAATATTTTCGCTTTTGGATCGAATAGATGTTCAATGTTCAAAATTGAGTCTTTCAAAGCAAAATTTGTACCATGCTACCACAATTCTTGTCCAAATAATGGGCACAAACGTGAATAGAATTTAGCTGAGTTTATTAGGTTCTTATTTAAGATACTTCCACAATAATTTAATTTATGGTAACTTAACTTTATCTGCCTGACGAAATTATTGGTGATGTGTTTTTTTGTTACGTTTGTTTATCAATAAGACAATATATACAATATTGACACCAACACATCACGTTTTACAAACTGGAAAATCACCAGTATAAATTTTAATAACCGGCGAAACATAATGTCATTTCCTCAAAATGGGTCAACAAGAAAATATTTCAGTTTTATACGAAATTTGGGATATTTAGTTTTACGTTTTTACTAATGGGGCTAAGTTACATTTTATCATGACATTCGTCTTCACCCTTTATATGGATACTCTGTTTTTTTATTAACGATAGTGGTCGAAGCTATTACGTGATCAAAACCTAACTAGGATATCTACCACTTTGGCCTAAATTCCCTAGGTTCGCGATGGCATAGTTCCGACCTGCCCCTATGATGGGAAACCATTTATGTGGTTAGATTTCAGCTACATGGTTTTTGGCCGTAGCTCAGTTAGCCACTTTGACCACCTATATTGTTTCGACTTTATCTTAATCAAAAAACAATTTCGCCATTAAGCTCTACATCTTCAGATCCTTCACGTGGCAGGTTCCTAAAGGCTTTCCCTGCATATCTTCTATTTCATACATATTGCTACCAATCGGTTTGACTATTCTGCACTTTAGGTACTTGCGACAAAATTTGGCGTTTATATTTTTCCCAAAATCGCTCAATATATGATTTTTCCTGTAGGCCTCCTGTCCGGGAATGAATTTAACTATTCGGGCCCTTTGATTGTAGCGTTTCGCACTCCGCTCGTAGGCCTCGTGTAGGTTTTTCTCAATTTTGTCCCTGATTATTTCCAACCGTTCTTTTCTGCCTAATTCATTTATCTGATGATCGCATAAAGATTGTAGTTTGCGGGCTAGCTTGTAGTCACTGCCGGACGTGTACATCTCGTAACCAAATAATGCAAAGAACGGAGTTACCCCCGTTGAAGAGTGGATTGATGATCGTAAAGCACATTCGATTTCTGTTAAATATGTGTCCCATTCCCTATGATCTTCGTTCAAATATGCCCGGATTGCAGCCAATACAGATTGGTTTACCCTCTCTGAGGCGTTAGATTGTGGTGAATACGGTGCCGTTTGCATATGGTTGATTTTAAAGGTTTCGATCATTTCTCTGAAACCCTTAGCAGTAAACTGCGCTCCATTGTCCGTGTGAATCGTTTCTGGAACTCCAAACTTTCTGAAGATTTCTTGTACAAGAAATTGGACTACATTTGAGGTGGTTGCTTCTCTCATGGCTTTTAGAAATACGAATTTGGAAAAATGATCGACAACTATAAAAATATAGCTGTTACCACCTTTCGAACGAGGATACTTTCCTAAAAAGTCCATATATAATTTTTGGAATGGACGTTCAGTAACGACCTCACATCCTATAGTAGGTTGCATATTTCTATTTAGGGGTTTTGTCTCCTTACATGTCCTACAGTTCACAACAAATGCCCTTACTTGTGATGCCATTTTTGGCCAATAATAAAATCGTTGTAGACGATGCAATGTTTTTGTTATTCCCCCGTGAGCAGAGGTCACTTCATTATGTGCCTTTTCTATCAAAAGATATGTTAGGGATTCGGGAATCCATAATTTCCACGGCATTTCCTCAAAATCTAAATCATTTTCTGTTTTGGTACGCTTGAAAATAAGTCCATTCTCAATTTTCAGATCAGGTAATTTGGCTGTATTTTTTTCGATATCACCGATCAAGTCTTTGTATTCCTGACTTTCGAACTCGGCTGTTTCAAAGTCGAAAAGATCGTCCACAATTTCGACATCTTCTACAACTTCCAAGCGTGACAACATGTCTGCCACTACGTTGTCTTTTCCTTTTCGATGTTCAATATTGAAGTTGTATCCCTGTAACTGCAGGGACCATCGAGCTAATCTACCACTAAGGTCTTTCACCCCCATGAGCCATTTCAGGCTGGCATGGTCCGTTATGACCGTAAATTTCATCATTTCCACATAGGGTCTGAATCTTTTTACTGCCATAACGGCCGCCAAGCATTCTTTCTCTGTCACACTATAGTTTTTTTGGCAATCATTCAACTTTTGGGAGTAGAAGGCTATAGGGTATTCCTCATCATGGTCTCCCTTCTGGAATAATACGGCCCCTATTCCGTATTCCGATGCATCACATTGGATATAAAATTGTTTGGAGAAATCCGGATGTTTTAACACCGGGGCCGTTGTCAAGGCATTCTTCACCTCCTCAAATGCATCTATGGCGTTCTTGGTCATCAAGAATTTTGGTCCTTTTTTGAGTGTATCTGTTAAAGGCGCAGATATGCTGGCAAAATTTTTAATAAATCTGCGGTACCACCCCGCTGTTCCCAAAAAACTTCTTACATCTCGTGGACATTTTGGCACTTTCAAGTTTTTAATGGCCATTACCTTTTCAGGATCCGTTTTTAATACACCCCCTCCAATTACAAAGCCTAGATATTTTAGTTCTTTAAAACAGAATTTGCTCTTTTTAAGTCCTATCGTGAGGTTGGCTTTTCTTAAACAGTCGGCAACTTGATCTAATAGTTTTAAATGTGTTTCGAAATCCTCTGAAATAACTAACAAATCGTCTAAATAAATAAAGACATTGGATTTTAGACGAGACGGAATAACTTTATCCATCAATCGACAAAGACGCTGCGCCGCATTACATAGCCCGAAAGGCATCATTCTAAATTGATAGAGCGGACGTCCTGGGACATATTAATAGGTGTATATTTTTGCCGTTGGGTGTTATTGACCACAAATACCAAGATATTCTTACAAATATTGAAAATCTACAAATGTTACTCTACTTTTAGAAAATTCACATATTTTACAGATGTCTTGTGGACTCTATTCTACATATCGACATTTAAAAAGAGCTAAAGACCTTATTAAACTAACATTAAAATGCGTTTATTAATCGAATATACCGATGGCATAAAAATTTGTTGAATACAAAATCTTTACCGGAGTTAGCTCTAATTTTGACCAATCACAATAAATTTAACATATATTTTCCAAAATCAATCAGGATTAAAGATTTATGTGTAAAGGTGTGTTTATTTTTTATTGTTAATATTGACTTCATAGCGACATCTATTTTATCATAGTAGAAACTACTACAAATAGTTGCCATCGCCGACACAAACCTATAAAACATTAATTCACAATTATCCAACTCACCACTGCTAATAGTAGAGGAATACAGGTAAATTCATCAACGCCTGCTAACATTGATATGTTAAAATTTCTAAAATGTTTTTCTTTTCAAAAATAAGTAGATTTCTATATGTTTTCCCATACGACGTCAATCGGAGGTTGTTTTGATATGATTTTTTTTAAATTTCTACAAACTTTAATTATTTTTAATTGAAAAATGTCACTTCCAAAATTGGTTTGACAGTTCATTGTCCCAGCGGCTATGTCGATGCGGCTACCTGTATTCTTCTACCACTGCCAAATACATACATGTGACGTTTCATTGTTGCTTTGATTCATAATTCATAAGCCGCTTATTACATCTTTCCCATAGATAAAAAGTGATGTTGTCCGGCACATACATCGTTTTTCGTTATTACAAGTTTCATTTAAGTATGAACTGTCCGATAAGCAAAAGGTCAGACCATCTTTTCTTTATCTTTTAACGTAAAGTTTACCGAATTCATGTTGCCATATTTTATATTGATAATATGGCAATAACAGCAACATTTATTTAAATAAAAAAATGGATAATGCTAATCGTTTATTTTATATTGAAGAACTGAATTATAATTTTCACGAAATTAATTACAAATTAGTTTTATTTATTATTTTTAAACTAAAATAAGAACGGGCCATAATTTCATAATTTAACAGAGCTGACACTTTTATAGGGGGTTCGCTGCTTTTTATAGATACTACGTACACGGAAATGCTTTGGAATATATTTTTGAGACCATGTATTTCATATTTATTGCTTTTTCGCGGATGTCCATCATTCTTTCGTAAAAATATTTCTGTACTTTTAATAAGGTATTTTTGTCATGGCGTCGGTCATCCACTGCCTGATAGAAAGATTAATAGGCCATATGCATTTTCTCCAATCTTTATAGTCTTTGTCACTGATGAACATGACAAAAGTAATGTTTATATACAAGAACCTTATTTGAACCGAACCCATTACTTAGATTGTTAATTCCTCTGATTATGTGTCAAATATATGACATATCTTCGCAAAACGCGTAACTTAGCTGTCGATGTGTAGAGCTTCATATTAGTCAAAGCAACGAAAAATCTCTACCAGTAAATATACAATGAAATTATTGTGATTGGTCTATTATATGGGTTAACCCGGGTAGAGGTTTTGTATGTAAATGTACTTTGACCCCACTTTTGCAAAGGACAAGACAATTGAATTCATGTTTCAATTGTCAAAAGGACAAAATTTTCTTTTTGCGACGTTTATCTTAAACCATACAATTTGATCTTAAAACAATACTGAGAAAGGAGGTGTTCTAGCGCTAGTAGCCAATTTCTCTTAGTTTTTGTTAAACAATCAACCAAGCAATTTCTATGTATTCATGGTACAATAAAAAGGTACGGTGAGGGATGCGCTTTGAAAATATTAACCAGTTTTGTCATGGAATTGAAAGGTTGGACACTCTGAATCATATATTTCAAATGAAATCCAGGCATTTAATTTATCTTTATTGTTTTAAAAATGTCAAGTAAACTTGTTGTATATAATTTTGAATAATTCTGACAGGAAGCAAGTTTTACGAAGCTGTTCTACCTCCTTATTGTACCATGTATGTATTATTCATTTAATTCTTTGTAAATTCGTTTTAATTACAATTGTATACAACATTCATGTTAAAAAAATTGAAGTAATTTGTACAAATAATGAAAAATACATAGTAGAATTAAGAAGGCAAACTCATGATAACATCTCACTGTCAAAATGTATATTTAAAAATCCATTTTATATACAGAAATCAGAGATGGGTACCTATCATGGTAGAAGAATATAGGTAGATGCATCAGCCCTTGGGAACATTGATATGTCAAAATTTTAAAAATGTTTTATCAAAAATGAGTAGATTTTTTAATGTTTTCTTATACGACGCAAATCTGAGGTTGTTGTAATACGCATTTTTCAACAATTTTTACAACTTTCAATGATTTTTCATTTAACATTTTCAAATCCAAAATCGATTTGACAGTTCATTTTCCCAGCAGCTGTGTCGATGCGACTACCTGTATTCTTCAACCATGGTACCTATATTCTCCGCCGTGAAATTTGGCAAGGTAAATTACAGAAAATGCAGAGTTGAATATGCTTATTTGATGACGTTAAATTCTTAATTTTACCATAAAATCCAATTTTGATTTTCTCTTAAACAATCTCTTTACATTATTCTGCGTAGCTTTGTCTTAAACTAATTATCTTAGTAATTTGTATACAATTTCAAATATTTTAATGATTTTTTAATAGAAAACCATCAAACCATCCACAATAGGTCTGTTCCGTTTCTTTTCCTGTAGCAATTGCCGAAGTTATTAGACAAGAGTAAGGAAGTTTTATTTATCTTTTGTAAGAAAATTATAAAGAATAAAATTACACATTCGATAATACAAAAAGAAAAGGTATAAGTGAGAGCAAGAAAATGTGAAATGACTTATCCTTCTTAATTTTACCTTATTTCACATAACAAAATTTGGGATAACCAATAATAAGGCACGGTAAAATGAAGAAGATTACGTCAACAGTCATATGTTTGCTTTTTTTTCAAAATTATACACTTGCCGGATCTCATTGTCAAAATCCTTTGTATACACACAAATGAGAAATGGGTGCCAGTTTCCAATGTAGTTAAATTTAACAAGATAAATAAGAGAATAATACAAAGCTGGATACATGTCAAAACAATAAAGGTAAACTCATTTTTATATGAAAATAATTTTCATTTCATGTTTTCATAGAACAAGAATTCAGACCCTGAAAGTGGTTCGTCCATATTCTGCTTTACATCGAAACCTGAATTACGAATTTTACAAAGATTCGTCGTTTGTCTGACATACAATTAAATGAGTTGACAATCTAAATAATGCGTTTTATCCAAAAATTTGACACTTTTCTCTCGATATATTTATATTAGAGAATACGTGGATTACAACATCAAGTTCCTAATACAATTGCCAGTCTTTTTTATTGCAAATTAAAAATAAGTTATTTCACAAAAGAAGCACAACAAATGATCAAAGCCAATATTTTCCAAAATAAAAAGTATACAAATAGTGTAAATTAGCTTCTACAAGTTTTGATCAAAAGATATTGAAATATAATAAAAGCATGGTTCAATAAGAAAAGTTGTTCAACTTCAAGGAAACTAGAAAAATGCAATTCTGTGCTGGAGTCTTAAGGTGCAAGTACATAAAAAGCTTGAAGTCATGGCTAGGCATTATAATAACAAATTATAATGGAAAACGACGGCAAGATTTTATTTCGGCTCTGTAATCCCTTTATGAAATGTCACAAAATGTGCCTAGCCATGACTTCAAGCTTCTTATGTACTTACACTCTTATAGTGTCAAATGGACTCAAATATGCAACAGTTAGCTTTGTTTATTTTTATTTTTTTAACAAAATTCTTATGCTGCGAAAAACCCGCGAAACAGGAATGGATGTTCGGGGTTATTCTACAATATTAAATCTAAAATAGTAGGATAATACAGTTTTATCACAATACAATTTGTACAATTTGTTAGCCATTTCGTCGAAAATTTGTATTTATTTTGCAACCTTTGACATAATTTCAAATTATTGTATTTTACACACACACATACAAAAAATGTGTATATGTTTTGACAGAATCTGCCCTTATTCTGTCAGCTTTATTCTACATTCTGTAATTATCCCAAAATTAAAAGAATATTCAGATTCGAAGTCAAGAATATTAATTAAGAAATGTTTTCGATTTTTATTTTGTCATCGGGTACATGTTGTGTGCACGTTTTAAAAAAAATTGCATTTATTTTTTTTTTTAATTAAGTGCTTTGGAAGAAAATTTATGAGAAATGCAAACACATCGTTTGCCTCTAAAGAATTAAAAAATCAATAATGCAAAGATTTTTTGGTCAATAAACCAAATATTCGGTACCTAATATGCACCTTACTTTTCTATCAGATCACATCAAATTTTACGTCGAAAATTCCCAAAGGGAAGAATTTATTTTCTGCGAAAAATGCTAATCGTTAGCAGATGTTAAACCTATCTCTGATATTTGAACTAATACGACAATTTTACCTGATTACGCTATAAAATTATGAAATTAAAAATGTCCACGAACAAAAATGTGCGATTCTAACATTTCCACGAAATTGGCAACGAGATTTCTGCTACAGAAATAAATCCTTAACTTTATTTCTCACTGTTTGCAATGTCTACCTACTTTGAAGCCGAACGATTACCGGTTACTCATACAAGTGGCCACACTGTTGTTGACAGGTAAAAACGAGTAAACATGGCGCGATGTGTCAATTGTCAAACTAGTGGTTTAAAAATTCTAACGGCATTTGTTATTTACCTCGAGACGCGAAGACACACACAAGCTGATTAATCAAGAGTAAAGGGAAAAACGAGTGAATTTGTTTACATTTCAATTTCGGCGCGAGGATAAAAGCAAACAAAAAATATTAATTCTTTTCAATGGTGCTTGCACACATTAAAATGTACATATGTTAATATAAATTTTAATGCCATATAATTGTGAGAGAAAAATCAACGCAATATCGTCGTCGTAGTGAACATACAAACAAACCAGAATTGTAAAGATCATCGACAACAAAAATAGAACTGCATTGCAAATTACAGCTGGAGGCATCATCATTGATCGCCTTACTCTCCAAACGAAAACGAGACGCCCTTCTGGATAGTATATAAAAAGAACAACAACTAATGTGTACAACGACAATAAAGGAGGAATAGAAACAACTGGCCTCCAAAAATATATTTTTCATATTAGCAGACTAAAATATTTTCTGTCCAGGAATTTCCTAGTGCAGAAATCACTATCTTAGAAAGGAAGTCAATTCCTTTTCGTCTTTGGCGTCTTACTGACAAAATCATAAAAGGACATACATACGTTGTATAAAACAAAACACACAAAATGGACATGCGCAGCTGGAAAAAAGTACTGTTGCAATGGGTAAGTGAAAAAAAACTATAACTATAGACACATTTTCGAGACGCATGTTCGATCTGCTTGTTGAAACAACAAAAACAAAGTTAATAGAAAACAACAGTCAAGCAGACGTAGTAAAGGTGGAAAATGTATTCAAAGGATGGCTGCTTGTGTATACTCTAGACATTTTGCGTCAACAAATAGCCTGGTGTGTTGACTAATGTTAATGTGTGTGTGTGTCGCTATTTCGTTGTTGTTTGTCTAGGATTTAAAAGTGGAATTAAAAACTCCGCCACCACCATCATTAATTTTACCTACACAACACTGTGGTAAGAGAGTATTATGCCTTTGTTCATTTGTTTGTAATGCTAATCTCCATAGAATTACATTATAAGTAAATAAGTAAGTAAGTAATAAAATGCATTCCATAGCAATCATAAATCATACGATAGGCCACATATAAGAAAAACAAATACCTCCGCCAAATTTAATGGAAATCGTTTCGGATTAAGATATATATCCCCATATAAGTATTGTTTTCATTCGCTGTTAATGTTCAATCACTCTAAAGCCGTAACAATCAATAACGCTCATAGTAGGATCGCACAAATTCCAATATAGACGTATATTTGTTACAGATAGGACAGCTAAATATCTATAATAGTATAGTATATCGCTATACTATTGTCATCTTCTGAATGGATTTGAATTGTACATTATTTTAAAAAATTTACAAAAAGCCCAGGGGTTATTGGAGAAGGCATCTTCTTGGATTACAGATCTAGGACTACTTTCCAGTATAGTTTTCCAGTTTATGCGATTATGACGAGGTCATGAAAAATCCATTGTTTTCTTTAATTCATTGTATGTTGAACATACTTTTAAGAGGTATAATTTTCGGGGTTTTACTCATAAACATATTTACTAAACCCCAATGTTAGACATCCAAAAATATCTCTTAATTTATATATTTTTTAATGTTTCTCCTCCACAGATTACCGAATGTGGTTTTATGGAACGCAACTATTTCAACATCGAACAATCGGATATTGATCTATTCTATCAAAATTTCTGTTTACAACATCCTAAAACAGCCAATAATGACAAATGCAAAAGAATTAGTGAATTTCTTAAAGGTGAGTTGAAAATTCTTTAAATTTATTTAAAATATGTTTATCATATCTTTATTTGTTTTTAGAATTCTATCCAAAATTTGAAGCCCATCTTGATGATGAAAATTGTCTAAGTTCCTCGGACTACATTTATATATATTCATTATTTTTACATTTCTGTTGCGTCAAACATCCACAGACTGTATTTCATGAAATATGTCAACGTTTACCCGAATTTGCCCAACAATGTATTGCATCGTTTTTCAAGGAATTACTTGAAACTGAGCCTATAACGAAAGAGGCCCTACGCCATGCCATTGCTGAAGTGGTGACAACACATGTATCGCCACAACGTCTCAATGATTCGATTTCGAGTAATCAATCTACCCTGAGTATATTGGGTGGAATTGGCGGAGGGGGTGCTGGTGCTGCTAGCATTAGTAGTAGCATAACTTCGCCAAGTTTTAGTCGTTGTGATTCACCTTTAAAGACGCCAAAACGCTGCGCCGGACCGCAACGCATATCACCAACGACACCTAAATCCTATTTGCTCGAAGAGCGACAACGAGAATTGTATAATTTAAGGGTAAGAAAATAATTCAGAATCTCCAATACAACATGAAGTGTAATCCAATGTTTTTCTTTTAGGCCCAGCTAGAAACGGAACGCTATGAGAAGGGCCTTTTAGAGGTACAAATCAAACAAAACGAGGATAAAATCCTTAAATTAAGTAAGTATTGAAATTATATTTTAGATAACTTGGTGGGATACATTAACGTACACTTCTATTTTAGATCAAGATCATAAAAAGTTACAACATCAAATCCAAGATTTGAAAAACGATATTTTGTTGAAAACCAGCGATGGCACCAACTCTTCAAATCGTGAAGGTCAAGTGGAACAGGTATATAGAAATCAAAAAATGTGCATGTGAAATGAGGATAAAGAGGAAAAGAAATGCATCGCTTTTGATGCACTCTTATTGAACATAAATTTCTATTCAACTACTCTTCTATACATATTTCTTTCAGTATCTTGTTATGGACAAATCCTTTTTGCTTTTCAGATACATAAACGTTTACTTAAGGAAATGACTTTGAAAGAAAACGAAATCATAAGACTCAATGATATTGTTAGAAATTTACGAGAAGAAAAAGCTCTGATTCAGGAAAAACTAAGCTATGCCCAAAAACAAATTGCTATATGCATGAATCGCATAAAGGAGTTGGATTACAAAGTCGATGAATTAAGTGATACCATAGAAGTAAGTGACAAAGTACACGCCGGCTTTTACACATTTAATATAATCATTTTTTATTTTCCTGTTTACTTATATAATAGAAAAGGGATGGCACCATTAAATTTTTAACCGACAGTAAAATAGAACTCGAACAATATATTGCTGAATATCGCTCAGCAAATATGCAAAGCGATTTAAATGGTTCCATGGAATGTTTTGATTCTTCATTTGCTCGCAATATTGGCAATACGAATGCCTCCAGCAATGTTAGTAGCCCCGAAAATCTGGGAGCTTCTGTCATTGACATTCAGCTAAGAGAAAAGGAACACGAAAATTCCAAATTAAAAGAAGAATTGGAATTGGTTAAAGACGAACATAAACGTTTAGCCAAAAGTCTACAAGACTTGGCCGAAAGACAAGCTAAAGAGTTTGACATTGTGTGGGAACATCATAGTGAGCTCGCAGATGAATCACAACCTGAAGATTCCATACAAAGTGATCCTCTGGAACAATTCAGTTTATTCTCCAGTTGTATGGAAAAAATAAGTAGTTTCCATAAACTCGAGAAGAACAAAATTCATGAATTAGAAGAGGAAAGCCAAAAACTACAAAATGAAAAGGCTGAATTGACATTGAAATTGGAATCATTTAATCAAGAGGTATTACAGTTAAAGGCCAATGTCAATGAAGTTCAGAAAAACAATGAACAATTGTTGAAAGAAAAAGAAGACATGTTGGCCAGAGAGCGCAAACAACAAATTGAATTGGAACAATTAATGGCTCAAAAACAGCATCTTCATGTTGAGTTGCAGGATGCCATATCCACCAAGGAATCACTTGAATCAGATTTGTTGAGGTTCAGGCAAGAATCTGAAGAAATGAGTAGCAAAAACATGGAAATGCAGAAAGATTTTACTTTAAAATCCAATGAATTTGAATTAAAAATCAAGGAACTATTGGAATGTTTAGACAAACAGGCCGATGAAATGAAAACCCACATATTGGCTGAGAAATCATTAAAAGCCAGTTATGACGAACTTGTCATTGAAAATAATGAACTCAAGAACAAAACACGTAATGCTGATGAACATCTTGCGGAAATGAAACATGATATTGAAAAGAAGCAACAAGAAATATCCAAACTTGCTATTGAAATTTCACAATTCTCAGAGCAAAATAAGGAGCTAGAAAAGAAAATCAATGATTTGGTGGCAGAATGTGAGAGAGAAAAGAATGAATGTGAAAGCAGTCAAGATGAAATCAAATCGCTGCAGGAAAGACTTGAGTCCTTGCGAGAAGAAAAAGAAACTGAGATTAGCAAATTAGAAAAAGAACTGGATTCACAGAAACATAATAGTGCAAATGTTCAACAAGACTTAAATAAGCTTCTAAAGGAGAAAGAAGATAAGTTACAAGTTATCCAACAAGAAAATGAAGTATTACAGCACAAAATTGATATGCTTTTGCAAGAATATGAAAATGATAAATTGGACACAGCAGATAGACATAAACAAGAAATTCAGACATTAAAAGAAGAATTAGAAGACTTGCAATTGGAAAAACAGCGCTTAACAACGAAAATGGAATCTGAGACAATTGAACATCAAAAGGAACACTTGGACTTCGAAAACAAATACAAAAAACAAGTTATCTCCTTAGAAGAACATGTCAAGACTTTGGAATTGGAAAAACAAAATATGGAATTAAAGCTTGAAAATATTACCCAAAACTGTAATGAATTGGAAAAAATAATAAAAAAGCTCAAAGATGAAAACCTTAAAGAAAAACTTGAACAAGATACTTTGAAGGATACAATTGGTGATTTGGAAAAGTCCATTACCGACTTCAAAGAAAACAGCGAACAGCTTAAAGAACAAATTGAGAACCTCAAAGAAGAAAAACTCAAACACCAACTAGCATTTGAACGTCTTCAAACGGAACATCACGAAGAAGTCAAAACTTTGGGAGATAACTTTAATAAGCTACAAATGGAAAAACAAAATGAAATCCAAAATTTACTAAAGCAAATTTCTGTTAGCCAAGAGAAATTTGAATCTCTAGAGAAACAACTGGAAGAAGCTGAAACATTGAAACTCAAACATCGAGAAACCCTTAGAGAAATGGAAACAGAACTTCAAACCGTACAGAGTTCTCTAAAGGAAAGCAATAATAAATTGGTTAACTCTGAGACACGCCACAAGGAAATGGAAAAACTAACAACAGATTTGTCTACAATTATTAACAACACTCTTAAATTGTTTAATGTTTCGGTTAATAGTGAAAACTGTTTGGAAAACATTTGCAACTTGGAGCAAGAAATAAAGAGTCTTCTTGAACATAACACCGAACTAAAGGCCAAAATGAATAACCAGGAATCTTCCCAAATTGACACCACGCACAGGTTGCAACAATTGGAAAAGCAACTCAATGAAAAAAATCAGGAACTCGAAAGGCATGCCAAAGAGTTAGACACTCTACGTGAACAAACTGAGGATTACGAAACGAAATTCATCACGTTAAGAGATCAACAAAATAAATTTGTTGAGAAGATTAAACAAGATTTGGACAAAAAAGAAAATGATTTCACACAGCAAATGCAACAGGCAAGCAACGAATATGAAGCTTCATTGGAACGAATACGTCATGAATTGACTTTGGAAAAGGAACATCATGAAACCAAAGAAAAAGAATTGCTGTTGGTTATTGCTCAGCATAACGATGTGAAAAAGCATCTCAATGAAAAGGAAGCTGAAATCGAAAAGCTGATGGCAACCTTAGAATTGCTGCAGGAACAAAATCAAAAACTGAAATTATATGAGAGCCGTGTTAGTGAATGTTCTACGGAAAATAATAAGTTGCAAGAAGAAATTGAAAGCTTTAAGAGAGAAGTTCATCACAATGCTCTGCGTTTGGTGGAAGCTGATAAAGCGCTCAATGAATTATTAGACTTAACCAAGGAGCATGAAACTAACAAGCAGGAGGTCCTTAAACTTCACAATGAGCTACAAGAAAAACAAAACACTTTAGACTCCCAGCTTGAAGTACAGGAGGATTTGGAACAACAGCTAAAAGAACAAAGTGAAGCAATTTCCAAACTTTCCGAAACACTCAAGAAAATCGAGCAGCTCAAGACAAACTTAGATCAGCAGTTGAGTAAGGAACAGGAAGAAAAATCTCTATTGCTTCAGTCTTTGGAAAAATCCACCGATCAATTAAAATCTTTGCAAGCAGAACAACAACAACAAAAATCGTCATGGGAAGAACGATACACGGAACTCAAGCACCAAATGGATGATTTAACATTGCAAAATACCAAACTGCAGGGAGATTTGCTAGAACGTGATGCTGAGCTACGTATGAGTTTAGAAGATCATGAACAGGAACGTGATAGCTTCCATCAGGAGTTGATGGAAGTAAAACAAAAACTTCTACATGCGAATGAAAAATTAGAACAATTTGATATGTCCCTTATGGAAATATTAGCCATTATGGAAAATAATTTCAACCTGAAATGTGATTTTGAATTGAAGACCATGAAAAACATCTTCAATGTTTCAGCTGCTGATGAACATGGCAATAAAATCAATCAATTACGGGAGAACCTCAATATTGTCCTTCATATGGAACAACAGCAACGTCTACAGCATAACGAGACCTTAGATGCTCTTAAATTAATTGAAAAATCCAATGCTAGCCTTCAAACCACAATTGCCAAGCAGGAAAAGAGTTTGCAAGAGCTAAGAGAACAAATTGAAAATGAAGAAGAAATTACAGAGAAGAGAATGTCTCACGAAGTAAAACGTCTTGAAGAGGATCTTCTTAATCTGGAAAGGGTGAATGAACGTCTAGTCAATGGCAACTGCCATTTGCAAGATACTTTAGGCCAACATGAAAGGGATCTTGAGCAAGCAAAACTTAACGTTGATAAATTGGAAAAAGAGAAACACAATCTTCAAGAAGAGGTCTATATAAAGGCTCAGCACATTGAAAAGTTACTACAAGAAGAACAGAGTCTACAACAAAATCTCAAAGACAAATCACAACAAATTGAGAGAATTTTGGAAAAATCGAAACTTCTGGAACAACAACTTGAAGAAAAATCACAAAAATTACAATCTCTCAATAGGGAACATCAAGATCAGAAGGAAATGACTCTAAAACAACAACAGCTAATCGAGGAACAACAGCAACAATTGTCCTCGTTACAGGCAGAACAATTGAAGCTGAATGATAAACTAAAACAATTACAAAATGCCAATGACTCGCTGGAAAATGATGTATCAAACAAATCCAAAGAACTTCTAACTCTAACCAACAAATCCGAAGAACTTTTACAAGCCATGCAAAATGTTGAACAACAATTGCAACTAACCACCAAGAAACTGGATGAAACTGAAGCTTTAAAATTGAACAGCGAAAGTAACTACCAGCAAATTCAGTCTGAATCGCAACAGCTAAAACGTGACATGGATTTCCTTAAGGCCCAACATCAATCGGCCGTTGAAGAAAATCAACGCCTAAATGGTGAAATCGAAAGTCTCAAACAGGATAAGCAGCATTTGCGTGAAGAAGTCCGTGACACCAAATCGGATCTTCAAAGAGCAAATGATAATGTCACCCAACTAATACAGCAAATCGCTTCCATACGCATGGAAAAGGAATCGGTGGTTGAAGAAAACTCTTTGCTACGTAAACAGCTGGAGGAAAGTGGTAAACATCATTCTACATCGGAACATAAACTCAAATCGATCATAGAAAAGTCCCAGGAATATGAACGTAAGCTGCTGACAACGGAAAATGAACTGAAATCCGCCAAGGCCTCTCTTGAGAAATGTGAAATAAACAGTCAAAAACTATCTGCAGAAAATGTCAAGCTGAAGGATTCTCAAAAGACTTCTACAAAGAGAATTGAAAAAATGGCCTTGCAACTGGGTGAATCACAAGCCAAGAGTACAAAACTGGAAAGGGAAAATGAAAAGTTAAGCAAAACTCTGGAGGCTCATAGTACCACTGTTGATGCTTTACAAAAAGAAAAGGATGTGCTGCAAAATGAAGCTAAGGCTCTCAAAGAACGTTTGTTGAGGGCCGAAAGGGCCCACGAACAATTGGCAGCTAAGGTACAAAATCTGGAATTGCTAAACAGCCAACTTCAAGAGACCAAACAAAAATTGGAAGCTTCAGAAATTGATGGAAAATCGAAACTCAATAAAATGGACAAAATGCGTATCTCAAATGAAGAAAAGATTCGTAAACTTGCCAATTCTCTTCACAATGCTGAAAATACGAATGTTAAGTTGAATTTGGAAATAGGTTCCCTAAATTCCCAAATACAAGTGTTGAAGGCGCTCAATTGTCAAGAACAGGTTCAAGATTTGACGCATAAACTTGAATTGGCTCAGCAGCAGTGTCAACAGCTCGAAGATTTGAACGAAAAGCATCAACAAGAAATAGAACATCTAAAGGAAGATAAAACAAATCTCTCTGATCAACTTTCCAAGCTAACACTCACCCTGCAAATTACACGCAACGAGCTGGAAGAAATACGTTCTGAACTTTTAGTCATACGTGATGAAAAGTCTCGCGTCCAATCGGAACATGAAACATCCACTTTGAAACTTCGTGACTTGGTGTCACAAAATGATCATCTCATAAGTGAACGTAAAAATCTTGTGACCACTCTGGAATCACGTATTGCCACATTGGAACAACAGTTGACGACCAAATGTAAAGAAGTTGATGACTTGCAACATGAAATTCAAACCTTACGTGAATGTTCTGAATCAAATTCATCGCTATTGCAACAACAGTCTGCCATCGCTAATCATTCCGAAGTGGAACAGCTGCGTGAGAGGTTATCCTCGGCAGACGATGCACTGCAAAAGGAACAACAAGTTGTTGCCCAACTACGTTTGGATAATCAAATCTTACATACAAAATATCAAGAGTCCAAACAACGTGTTCTGGATGCCACCAAGAGTAGCGAAGAACGCATCAAAGAAAATCGTTTAGAATTGGAAGGCAAATTGGAAAAGATGAAAAATAAAATGGTAAGTTTTAAATTCGTACGATTTAAATATAGTATGTTGCCATTACTTCCTTGTTTTTGTGTCCTTATCACTGACATACTCAAAAATTCGTACACATACATATACACAAGGGCATCATCACACTGAATGTTTTGTTTGGAAAATATTAGATTTTCGTAATTGTTGTTAGTGTTGTATTTAGTCTGTGTTGCATGGTATTTGTTTTTTATGTTTTTCAATGGTTTGTCTGTCCCAGAAATTTGTTCTGTTATGATATGATAATTGCCATTAGGTTAACTTGGTTTATTTTGAATAACTGCCGAAGACACTATAGACTGATGCATATAGAGGATATATTACGATTCTTTTATTTTTAGTCATGAGTAAGATGTGTTTCGTGTTTTTTCGAGACAATGTTTCTTGAAAAGTAATTAATGCCAATTTGGCTGTTGCGTAAGATAACCCTCGAAAAGAGTATCCAATTTGGTCCTATCTTTGTGCTGTATAATATCAGTATAAAGCCTAGTCCGGGTTTGCACAAAAAATGTTGAATATATAGCTTATTCTTCTTCAATCATAGTACAGCGGAATATTCTCATCAGACTTCGACCACGTACGAACATGGTCAATACTGCCACATCTCCATCTTACTTAACATATGAAGTGTGTCATCCAACCTATCAGACAGAAAAAATGTACTTTATAGGTCCATATTTTTCTACAGCACCGATATTCGATATTTTGACGATTTTAGTAGCATTTTCCAACGAAACTGTTTTAAGATTGTTTCAAATTCGATATTGACAATGAATAGAATAAACGGAAATTCCGTAAATTCGATGTGTTAATGATTTTAAGCGCACATAGCCGAACTTGACTGTTTTTTATTTGTTGAATATACATATCACCTACAAAATGCAAACAAAAAAGTGCCCCCTTGTATTCTAAAGACTTCACTCATCACAACATTTCTGTCTAAACTTGTATCTACCCTAAAATAATGTAAAACAATTTCAAACAAGTTATATGACTTAAAGAATATTTGATTAGGGCTTCGTCGGGTACTAAATTAACGATTCGGGCCCACACTTTCATGCAAATCCCCACAGAAGAAATTTAAACAATCAACTTTCTTTTAGTTTCTCACAACTGTTCTGCGATCGTTAGGCGTTGTCCGAAGCCAGGATATGTGGAAAAATTGACCTGAATCACTATTTCTTTTTACTTTTCGCATCTGCGCATTTTAGGCCCTAAAAATGACCGTTTGTTTAAATTAGGAGTTACCTAAATGACGTAAATATTTTCACGATTCCATAATTTTTTGATGGAGAGATTTCAAGATATAGATTTCTACAGTTATTATTAAAAAATATTCCTTAAAAAGTAATGCAATGATTTATTCCCCATTATTTCTCCCTCAAAACTAAATGTCACGCAAACTTGATTTTGCTCGTTTACCCGTTTGTAACAAAACTCTCATCTAACTCAATCAAATGTCTCATAACCCTATGCCACTTAACACTTGCATCCTACTTCGATTTCAATTCCGATCCTATTTAAAGTTTTTTTTATAAGTTTTTATTCTAAAATTCATTATTTTTTTTCTTTTTTCTTCTTCTTTTACTTTTAAAGTATAAATTTGAAACTGCAACAACGTCGGTATCAACAACAAGTGTTGGATGTAAGCTGCATTGGAAAAATCGCGTACATTCATGTTTTCGATATTTCTTTGTTGTGGTTTTCAGTCAAATTATTTTAATTGGAATTCTAAATTATTTTTTAAACAAAAACGATTTAGAGTTAATTTTCAAAAGCAATAGACCAGCAGTGTTTTGATAAATTAGAAAAAAAGCCTTTTCCCAGTGAGGGGAAACGATAGATTAGACTCTAATTGTGGAGGGCAGTGCCTTCTTTCGCCACACACACACACTGGTACTGTGTGTAGAATATTTAGCATTAAACATTATTCTATTATTAAATTCAATACTTTGTAAATGCATGTATATTGACTATTTTTGCAAACACTTTATTTAAAAGCAAATAAATAAAATTTAATTATTGTTTTGGCAAATCTATATGAAATTGCATCTATTTACGTTGTCGATACAATTGTTGTGATGTCCTTGTGTTCTGTCTGTGGTATATGTTTCATTGCGGTTTAAGGTCATATAACAAATTTTGATTTAAATTTGTTTCATATTGATCCTTGAAAGAAAAAAATAAAAAAAAATTAATCGGGAAAGTTGCTGCACTCGATCTGTTCCTTATTTCATTTCTTGCAATTTTTTTTCTTCCTCATTTCTTACATATATTTTATTTTGTTTGTCCATCTGAATTATATCATCAAAACCTGTCTGGGCTTTTTGCGTTTCATTCCCCAAAAAATTAAAATAAAATCTCAAACCACACCTCCTTCACTGAATCAACAATAGAAAACTCTATACACCGAAGAAATAACCAAAATGAAAACGAAACAGGAACGTGAAGTGGCGAACATTAAATCGGAAATGGAGGTTTTGAAAGCACAGGTAAGTAAAGATAACTTATGAAAAGATTACGTAAATATATAAATGTTAATATTATTACATTTTGTACTACTTTTTCTCTCTTACTAGAACTTGAAATATGAAGAACATACCCGCAAACTTTCCAATCAAATTGTCCGATTAAATGACAACATACTGGAGTATCAAAAAGAAAACACCATTTTATCTACGAAATTAAAACACCTTTTGGAACACCATGAAAGTGAAAAATTTAAACGTCCCAATTCTATACATGTCTCAACAATATCCTCATCAACCGGTTCAACGGGTGCCTCAAATACGGGCACTAATTTAGCCATGGAAGACGAGGAAGGTGAAGTTTTCAATAATACCTATTTGACAGATTTGAAAGCTGGTCACATGAGCAGAGAAGTTTGGTAAGTATTAGTTTACTGAGATTTGATCATGTTTGCATATATTTTGTAGCAGCCACTCATGTCGCTAAACTGCCACCGCGTTTTTTAATCTTTTTTACGGATCGTAGAGTCGTTGGAGCGGTTTAAACTATTAATTTAAATTTACCCTTTTTTGAAGTTTTCCTTGAGAAATTAAATAATTTTGCAATGGATTCTGCTTCCTATTTTCAATTTGTCCACATTGGAATTACGTAGCAAGACTTATATTTTTTAGAAAATGTCATAAAGAACGATCATAAAATTTTTTTTCAAACAAGTTAAAAAGTATCAGTCTACAGTTTGCAGAAAATTGTATGATTCTTTCTTGTTCTATACGGCAAAATATATTCTGTAAAAATGTTTGCCCATCTCCGAACTGGATCTAAGTTTGATAATTATATTACTATATACCAAGTTTGGATCAAATCCCTTCGAGAGTTGTCGTGCGCACCAGACAGACAGACGGACAGACACCGCTAGATCGACTACAAATGGATTTGGTCCAAAGAAGCCTAGGGTCTAAAACCGTTATTAAAACCAAGTCAAAATCTTTCAAAAACATTATTAATGGAAAATTAACTGGTTTTGCCATGGAATTGAAATGTTCAACAGTTTGGATCACGTTTTTGAAAGAAAAACCAGGCTTTCCACTCATCTTTTGGCTCAAAAGTGAGAGAAAATATCAAAAAAAAAAAAATAAATAAATAAATAAATAAATGAATAAAAATAAAGTAAAATAAACAATAACTTGTTGCATTAGTGTTGTATTTCAGTAGTTCTACGAAGCTGGTCTAACTCCTTATTGTTAAATGCGATACACAAATTGAGATTGTTCGACTCGTTTCGATTACCATCATTTATGTTATACTGCCTATCATTTAATTTTTTCGTTTTTATTTGCCATTCATTTTACAGCGCCGAAGAACTTAAATATCGCAATTCATTGTTACCGCCCCACCTGAGAAGCACATATGCGGCCCAGTACGATAGCGAAATCACCGAAGATGAATTAAAAGTAAGCCCTGATTTAATAAGTAATCTTTCCAATGTCAGCCATAATAACTTTTCAACACCATCACCGCCGTTCTCATCATTGCCATGTGAACTGTTAAATGATGATTCCGGCGGAAAATCTTGTAAGCACCATCACCATCATCATCACCACCATCATCATTTGGTTCAACACAGCAATTCGTCTAAACACATTTTGCATACATCGCAATTAAGTAATATTAGTTCCATTGAATCCAGCAGCTCCACACCAAAGACCATCAAGACACTGCATTCCACGCCGTTATTGAAAAAGAAAATGCATCCAAATATTTCAAGAATTATAAATCATTTAAAGTAAACAGTTTGTGTGTCAAATCTATATAGAAAACAAAAAGACAAGCAAAACTTATATATGTTATATATGTAATCAATCATTATCACATCTTCCTTCTAGACAATTTTTTGTAAAAACAAAAAAAAAAACGTATTTTTGATAAAAAAAAAAAACATTAAATTGTGAATAAAATCTGATAAAATATCCAGAGTAAGGTTTTTATAAAATATGTTTCAGATAGGGTTTAGAATTTTATTAAAATGGTCTGTGTTAATGTCTCTCGATGTGGTGCTATTGTCTTATCTGTGCTGTTATTAGACATTGTTGTAGAAAAAATATTTTTGTTTACATTTATTATTTTGTGGTGTTGGCTCACTAAAAATTATATTTTTTATTACATATTATTTTGAAATATCTTTGAATTAATTAATTTTATATTTTTGCTTTGTAAATTTAGGATGGTCCACATAGCTTTGATGACAGCATGAGTGCCTTGCTGAGCACAACAAATGGTGGTAATCGCAAAAAATGCACTGGCGTTACCCATTATAAACGTCCCGGCCCACCAACGCCCAGTAAAAATGGTCGTCTTTCATTTGGTGGCTGTGTTAGTTCAGAGCCAATGCGTGAAATACTTAAAGAATCATTTGATAGTGCTAACTCCGCAACCACCGGAACCGTATCGTCTTCGTCGGCTAAAACTCCAGCCCGTTTTAATTTCTTTGCATCACGTTTCAGCATGGGCAATGGAAAAGATGAGGTAAGTTAAATGTGAAATATTAAAAGTTTCTTTGTGTGTGTACTGTGTTGTTACGGTAACAAGCAAGCTAAAATATTTAAAACCTAGAAATGATGCCAAACCATAAGAAAGAAGTTGATAAGTTTTTTTTTTTCTGGGGAAGTACTTGCATTTTAAAATTTTTGAAAATATTCCAATTAAGATGTCTTAGAATCAGTTTAGGTTTAGAGTGCCCGGGGAATATGTTGTAAGATAATTTAACCCTCAGTCGACTCATAACAGGGACTTCTAAATCAAATCAAAATATTCTCTATAAATTGTTCGTCAGAAATTTTTGCTATAGGTCATACAATACAACAAAACTCCATGATTTACTTAAAACACGGAAATCAGTAAAAAATAAACAATATGTTTTAGGGTTAAAGTAGAACTCCATCTGAATTTATACCATATAGTTGGGTTATAATTTGGTGTTTTGGCTTCATAAACGGTAGGAACCTACTTAGTAAAAATATTCACAACTCACTGAAATTGGATAAATTACAACCAATTTGGATATAATTTAGCTTTTCATATGGCGAAAGGTATATAAAACTTAAGCCGTGAAGATATGTTTGTCCTGTAAAAATTTCCCCCGAAATGAAATATTCTCAGTGACCACTGCGAGTTGGTGGTAGAAATCATTTCTTTTCCTCTCCTGTAACTCAGTGTTTGTCTATTTTGTTTGTCCAGTAGTGACCTGATTTGTGTTCCCTTACTCTTTGTTCACAAATTTCTCATTACTACCCCACTTTATTTTTCCCCATTGAAACTAAAAAAAAAGAAAAAATGTCATCTTAAAAAAGAAATTATTCAGCAAAAACCAATTCCCAACAAACAACCTACAATACCCAAAAAACTACCCCCACAAACCTCAAAAGCTCTACCACGACATTTATTGGGTGGTGTTGTGTGCACATCAACGCCACGTAAAAGTAAAGTGCATTACGATCAAAGACGTTTATTGGATCAACTTCTTACGTCTTCGCCATCGCCATCACCCTCGCCTCTGGTTATGGATAACATAAAATTGAAATTAAAGAAAAAAAATATAACTCCTCCCGATGTTAGTTTTATCGAGACACCATTAAGTGGCCTAATAAAACCAGCTGGCATGCCTCCCAAAGCTCCGACAAGAAAACAAACAAATGCTAAGCGTATGGAAGCCATTGCTGCTGGTCTAAAAAGCAAGCGGCGTAACTCCTCAATTTATGGCAGACGCTTATCACGACGTCTACAAGAGATTTGTACTCCCACAAGTGGTGAAACGACCTCATCGGCTTTCTCAAATACTCCCAAAGATTTAAAGCAACGTCGACAGACTATAAGTTCGGCTACCACCACAACCTCGGATGGTGTATCAAATGTAACAGTGGTACTACAAAAACGTTTTCTAAAAAAGAAACAACAAAAAGAGCGAAAAGGTAGACCTTCACTCTGCCTGAAAAGTGGTATTTTTGCCAAGCACCGCACACCCAATAAAGGAGTTCTGCATGATTTGAATAGATATAAATCTCGTAGGCAAAGATTCGATAATTTCAATAGAGGTAGAGATGTTAAAGAAAATGAATCTAGTGAAGAGGAGAATGATGTGAAACAATTGGAACTGGTCCAAATGAACAAGAAGAAGAATGCCAGTATAGTCAAAAACATTACCTATGAAATAAAACATAAGGGTCTAATAAAACCCACGAAATTGGGAGAAACTGTTGTCATAGCTACACTGGAAAATCAACCACAAAAAGAGGAGTACCAACGGGAATTTGAATTTAATACTGGAGAAGACTCTTTTCTATGTGCCTCAGAAGTATTTGATACACAAGATGCTGAAGATTTTAATGAATACGGGGAGGATAGTGATCATATTTGTCAATATGATAGCAGCAGTGATGAGGAAGAAGAGCAAGCTATAAAACATGGAAGAACGAGCATCCCAATTAAAAAAGAGTGTAAAAAGGAATTGGTTACCTCGATGGATTTAGAGGAATTCGATCGTTATATCAATTGTCTGGCAAAAGTTAAAAGGGAACCTGGATCATCCCATTCCTCAGCAGGAAGTTCGCAGCATTTTGAAAAACTGGTCTTGGAAACCGAATCAAATGCGCCGTTTGAGGTTAAGCACATCAAATTTAATATAAGTGGTGGTTCTTCCACACACCACCACGATTATGGCAAGCAGCAACCTCAAGAGCACTGTACATTTGCCAGTAACTCTTCGACGCTACTCAGTACAAGTCCTGTTAATGGCGACGAATTTTTACCGGATCAACAATGTGACTTTTTGGCAACCAAAGCATCGCCACACTTTTCACCCACAAATAACAATCAAGGAAACTTATCACGAATTATTTATGGCGGAACCGTAATCTATAATCGCCGCTTACCCAATATCAACACCACCTATGTTAGGAAATCCTCAATTTATGTTAAGAACAAAAATCAAACCATGTTTGATTCGAATGCGGATGTTATTCTCATAACCAATCAAACAATAACGGTTGCAGATTTGGCCCGCATGTGGAAACAAATGGATAGTTCAGCTCGGTTGTTGGTCAGTTTTGCAGCATTGGCTATATTTACAAGCCTGTTGGGTTTATTCTTGTCGTTCTATTCACCAAAACATTAATGCTCAGCTCGTCTTGTTGTTTATTTGAAGTTTATTTTCATAAATATTTATATTATCCTCATTATTACTTTATTATTATTTTTTGTTTGTTTTTGTTTTATGAGGTATTGCTTATTATCATTTGGTATAGAAGTGATTTTTGAAGTTGTAAAGTCCTAAGGACTACCCCTGCAAATTTTGTCAATTCAAAGCAACCAAAATTTATTTATATACAATTTATTCTTGTAATGTATGTATTTTTTCATATTAAAGTTAAAGTTATATAAGACCATTAAAAAATAAGGGAATCATAATAAAATAAGCGTTCCCTTAAAAGGTAATGTAATCATTTCATATTAAATTTAAATAAATATATAACACTATTAGCTAGGGGGAATCATTATAAAGGAAATATTTGAGTAAGAAAATATGCAAAAAAGAACCATTGATAAATATATTTTTTACAACAAGAATATCTTTATTTGAACGTTTAATAAAATTTTGATTTAATTTTTCAGAACACACCGCCCACTAATAAAAGACGCTTGAGCAATATGTTCAAAAGGAAATAGATGTGGATTGTAGAGAGCAACCAATAACATCGATTGATTGCTTGTCATGTCCTGTCCTGTCGTTCAGTATTGTAATAATATGTCGTTGTCCCTCCTATTAGCTTATAAATATATAATTTTTGTATTTGTACGTTTATGTGTTTATTTTTTGGTTTTTTTTTTTTATGTTTAGTTTTTTTTTGTTATATGTATTGTAATTAATATATTTTATATTTATATTCATAGAATATCAATCAACAATTTCAACGAGAGACTACTTAATATGAATTATTAAGATAACAAATTATTAAGATAACAAACTTAATCTTCATTAAAAAAAATCAAATTCACATAAAACGGTGACAATGGTTTTAGTTTAGTTAAAAGGTAAGCTTACCATTAAATTGTTTTGTATATATAAAATAAACTAAATGTAGACTTTGTATTGTCAAATTATTGTTCTGTAGTCTATTTAAGTGTTTAATAAAAATCGAAACGATTTGTTTAAAAAATATGAGTAAAACATCTTTGAGCTCGTCCTGTGAGAATTGCATTTTTAAAGATAGGAATTGTTTAAAAAGAGATATAGTTTATTGGGTGGTTAAAGTATTCGAAGTACGGAAGTTTATTGGGTGGTTAAAGTATTCGATACGGAAGTTGGCAGCTGTTTTACATGAGATTTGTGGCCCATTGTGTTCATCCTAGAAAAAAATAAGCAAAAAAAAAGCATTAAGTTCGGTCGGGCCGAACTTTTAATACACTCATCATTGGATAAAAAAAACATTTTTATACGGAAGTATCTTAATTCAATCGTGTAAGCTAAAAATACCATACCAAAAAGTGTACCCATTTAGACAACTTTACAAGGATTGTTATCGATTGCAAGTCTTAAATGCGAAATTTCCTTGGGAAAATCTGACAAGGTTTACCAAAATACCGAATATGAGTGGGTATTATTATATAGCGGCTATAGGAAACATGGACCTAGATATTCAATGTTCTGCCACGAGAGCGAAAATCCATTAAGAATCACAAATACCAACTTTTAGACCAATCCGCGGATAATGTGACAAAAATCATGAAAACACCGAATATCGAGAAGTACCCTTATATGGGGGGAACACGAAAACGTAATGTGGGCCGATATATCTCATTTCCAATACCAACAATACACAATACATATTGTTCTGCCAAATTTTGAACCTCTACATATATTTATGGGGTCTAAGTCGAGTATTTTGGAAACGGAATGACAAAGTTAATATACCATTATTTTCAAGGTGGGGGGTATAATAAGTAGAGGCGTTAGGAAAATAAAAGATATAGAAACGAAATAGAAAGAAGGGGTTGTTGAGATGTACAATCATTATGGTGGTTTGCAGACAGCAAATGCGTTTGCATGATGGGTCTTGCAAAAAAGTATGGCTTTCAATTTTATGGCATTTGACATTATAGCTTTAAGGCCTGGTTGATTGATTGCACGAATCTCCGCCTGCGTGCTTTATTTATTTATTTATTTTTTTTTTTTTTTGATGGACAAATTGTTTTGTTTTAAAAAGTCAGCTGATTGCTTGTAAGTTTTTGTAGGTTTACGTCTCTTTACTATTCACAGTTTTCTTTTATGAGTTAAATTATGGTAGAAGAATATAGGTAGACGCATCGAAACAGCTGCTGGGACAATGAACAGTCAAACCAAATTTGGAATTGAAAGTGTTGAATGAAAAATTATTTAAATTTGTTAAAATTGTTGAAAAACGAGTATTATAATATCCTCCGAATGACGTCGTATAGGAAAACATATAAAAATTTACTTATATTTGAAAAGAAATTTAAAATTTTTTTAACATATCAATGCTCCCAGGCATTGATGCATCTACCTGTATTTTTCTACCATGAGTTAAATAAATTAATAACGTTCTCTCTCATAACCTTTGCTCGTGCAAAAAAGTAACCAAATAGGATTTTCATAAGGTGTTGGTCCAATATAAGTCCAATGAATAAGAGCAAGGCCTACATAAGATCGGTTAAGAAGACTACATTTGACAATACACTTAGTATTGTGATTTGACTCCGTTTGTATTTCATAAAATCATTAGGTGTTTTCTGCAAACTTAATTGTCAGATGGGCTTACTGACCGACCTTATGTGGACCATGAGTGAGAGCGTGTAGAGAGTAATTTTGATAGTGGAGTCATAGACTAATGAATATATAGAAAACGGAATGTTTGGTTGTTTGTGAAACAGTTTTGAACCAACGAAAACTCTAACATTGTTGATATTTTTTAGATTTAAGATTTGAGTGACTAAATTATTTTCATTCATACCTCTAAAACGACATAGTCGACATTTTTTACATAGACAACGAAAAGTTAGTTTTGTCTTTTTCTCCAGGTGGCATTATGTTTTGCATAGTCAACATGCTGATTTATTCGTTCAACCCACTCGACTTCGAAAACACATTTGATCGTTTTTCAAGAATTTCCGGATTTTTCCGGAATGTTTCCATGTCATCACGTACTTTTAACATTTCTTTTATTAGGGAAGCCGATGCAAAAATGTTTACAAATTTCAGGCAATAATTTAATTGTTTCTCAGATAATAAACTCTGAACATTTCATTATACCAATAAATCTTTTGCACCATACAAATTGTATTTTTCTTCTTGGCGAAACACCTGTTTTCTTGCTTCTAGGCGAGAGAAAATACAGTTTACTGGGTTATTTTTATTGGAAAAGTCATCGTCATATTTTTATCCCCTCCACCATAGTATGGACGGTATATTAAGTTTGTCATTCCGTTTGTAATACCTCGAAATATAAATGTTAGAATCAATTCTATGTCGATTTGACGATATGCGTTCGTTCGAAGTTGTTGAACAATGTCGTAAAATCATCAATGTCCGGTGAACAATATCAACCTAGGTTGATGAAATTTTACTCAAATGTGTGTTTGGTCTACAGGATTTTTTGTATTGACCTAGTTTAGTCATAAGACTGTACCTCCCTATATTCGGTACTTTGTACATAGTTCACCGGAATTCTTTCAAATTTCATAATAAAAGTTCGATATGGGTACTACAGCCTGTGACAGAAACTTGGCTATGCCAGTCCAGGTCTTCGTATAGCCCCCATACAAAAGTACCTCCCCATGTTCACCGGAAATGTTTCAAATTTCGTGTTTGAAGTTCCTAATTTGTACTGCAGCCTGTCACCAAAAATTGTCAATCCAGGTCTACGTTTCATATAGCCCACACCTAACAGTACCTCCCTTTATTCGGTATTTTTATGATATTAGATACATTATTCATCGGATTTTCGAAGATCTTAATGGGTGCTGCAGTCTATGACAAAAATTACATATGCCGGCCCACGTATTCATACAGGTCCTAACCGTTCCTCCCGATATTCGCCATTTTTATGATTTTAAAGACATTACTGACAGTACTTGTTCCAAATATCGTATTTGAAGTTCGCAATGTGTTCTACAATATATGACAGCAAATTGTCTATGCAGGCTCAAGTCTTTCATTTAAGAGGATTTTTGGAACATTTTCAAATTCCTTCTAAATTATAAGTGGCTCTACTTTTTACTTGTTAAATTTGAAAATCTATGAAAAAATTGTATATCATATGGTTGCACGAGATCCTAGCCACAGTTTCACATAATTAGAACAATTTAACATTTAAAATCAAATCTTAGTTTTGAAGATTGTATAAAATTTTCAACCAGTCGATATTTCTTAACACGAAATATCTTTTGTTTTCTTAAAATTGGTTTATAAACAGTTTTAATTAATTATTCATATAAGATCTATAAACTTTAAAAATGTTGTTGTATAAATATCGGAAGATTTTTTTTCTTTCGATTTCTAATCATGCGATTTTTGTTGATCTTGTTTACTAACATTTGTTTTCTTTTTAGTAGGTATTTTGTTTTTTAAATTAATTTGTTTATTATGTTCTTGTTGTTTGTTTTGATCTTTGTTGTTTTTGTTTATAGCAACATAAGGGGGCTCGTTTCCAAGAAACATGTGAAATATTTGCCATAGTCACATTGATGACTGGTGGTCTATATAACGAGAAAAGTACCTGTTGTAACTATGTGCAATATTATTTGAACATTTCATTTATTTATAGTATTGAGGTTAGTGTTTTAAATATGTTTTTCTTGTTTTTCAATAACAAAGTATCAGTTGGTTGGTCGGTCGGTCGGTCGGTCGGTCAGTCAGTGAGTTATCAGGCTGGTTTCATATTTGTCACGTCACTACTGAACTGGTATCCAATTGAAGAAATGGCAAAACACAAACAAAAACCTTCCATAGGTGTTCTAGTATTGGCTATCTAGCTGCAATCCTGTTTACTGATATTTTTGCATTTTAATTCACTTGCAGCCAATTACGATGTATTCAAATCTCAGATGATTCAGCTCAATATAGCTTGCTCTAATATGAAAAATTAAATTAAAAAATCTCATCGACGAATATTTATACGATTTACTACGATGTGAAAGTCAAAAGTGGCCATTATATAACTATTTTGATTGTCTAACAGTGCTGCCTATATAATATAGCTGATGTTTGATATTATTTAATGGTTTTACGGACACTTCGAAATTTTCCACTCAATATGTTACATGTTTCGTTTAAATAACTTAAAATATTACGTAGACTATTGTGGAAACTCTGACATAGGGGAACAGTTTTTATCGACAACTCGATAACACTCGTCTGGGGCAAAGCACAAGTTCTCACTTATTTTAGAAATATCGTTTGGTATATCTATATATTAACTTGTGTCAGTTTTTCCGATCTTTGAAATTTGGTTTATGGCCAGTTATGGTGAAATTTCCTGGTTTGTCCGTTTTGTATATTATGTCTTTGCGCATTTGTTTGTAACATGGAAAAGGAAACGAGTTACTTTTGAGGATCTTCATAGAATAGCATTCTGAGTCGATTTATTTATGTCCCCCAGTCCATCTGTCCATGTATTTTAGTGAACAAAATGCTGATAGCTGGTTGTTTGGCCCAACCTTATTGAAATTGGCGAGAATCGGCTCAAATTTAGATAAAGCTCCCATATATATCTTTAACCGATTTCGGGTTAATTGTGCACCAAATGATCAATATCGACCCAAATGACCTAAATGTTGGCACATCCGACCAAATTCAGTCAAATTTGGTAAAAAAATCGGTTCAGATATACCTTTAGCTCCCGAGTTGATGTTCAAATCCCTCGCAAGCGTAATATGCACCCCACATAAATAATAATTGTTACAGCCCAGAAATACATCTGTCAAATTTTATCTAGATCGGATCAGATTTGGATATAGCTTCCATATAAATCTTTATCCGATATCAGGTGCACCAAATGGTTAATATCAGCCCAAATGAATTGAATCTTGTCAATTCCCACTGCATTCATCCTAGATACAAGTACTTCAAATTTGAATATCGTTTCAGAAAAAATTTTGGCTGCAGACCTTGTACTTTCCAACAGGACTCAGCAACAACGCATTCAGCACGCACCACCCAAGAATGTTTACAAAATGAGGTTCCTCGCTTCATTCCCAGCACACAATGGCCACCAAAATCTCCGGATACCAATCCGTTGGACAGCTGTGTCTGGAGTATTTTGAAAAGCTAGTTTGGCACTAAAAATACCAAAGTGTCGATCAAGCAAGCGCTTCGCCGGGAGTGGGTCAAAATACCGCAGAGTAACATTCGGGCAGCATGTGACGGTTTCATTGGCAGTTTGAAGGCCATAATTCGTATATATATATAATTTTTTTTCTTGAGGACCCTAGTCTTTGATACCTTTTATGAACTTCTAGATATTTGCGTCTTTCTTTTCAATTACCGCCACATTATAGTAGAAATATTTGAAAACTAAACATCTGGATTTAGAATACTAAAGCGTTTTAAATTTTACTCAATTACATTAAAATTTTATACAAAAATATTCAAATGACGTGTGGCGTGTGCGGCAACGTTGTCTGAAAGTTGTTCGAAAAGTTAACAGACGGGGGGAATTGAGTAATGGGGGCAGCCAGTGTTGAATCTAAAGTGACCAGCATCGCTCACATGTGTCTGCAAGGAGAAAAAAGCAGTTAGTGAATGAGATGAGAGAAAAAGAAAAAAGCGTCATGTGAACGCCGGTCGGTTGGTCATTTCATAATCAACTATATAGACATATGTATGTATGTACCACTTACTAGACCAGTTAAATTAATTCAAATAATAAAATATTTAAATTTGTCTATAGTTTGTTTTTGTTTTTCATCAATAAATTCTCTGTAGACAAGAAAACAACAAGTTGCTGCTGTTGAGAACTGCTTAGTAGCAAATAAACGAAAGCGTGGTAGAACACAATGTGGTTGATCCTGATTTTTGTTTACGATTTAAAGAACGAAAATATGTTTAAAGGGATCGGTAACGAGGTTCGTGTGATGAGTGTAGGTGGAAGTACATGTTTCAGAACCTGAAAAATTCAATGGCTATTACATTTCTTTCAGTTTCTTATTTGGGAAATATATAATACACACGCTTTGCTAGACAAATTAGTTACTACTATGTTACTATTACTATAGCACGGTAGATGGGTCATCGTGCTATAGTAATAGTAGTAACTAATTGGCTGATTGCCTAAAATATTGATCTTGAATTATTGCCGGCTATCAAGTCTTGGTTATTTTTACTAATATAACAAATAAAATGTGCAGAAACACAGCATATGTGATAGAGTTATGTTACAGAACCTACAAAAATCTAAAAATGTTTCTAAAACAATAAATTTTTCTTTTATGATATCGAAGAAAATGCAAGAATGTAAACATTTTAACAGGATAACTTTCCATTTCCTTTTTTTATACCCTACAACACTATGTGTTGGGGGTATTATAAGTTTGATTGGGCCAAAAATTATGTAACACCTCGAAATATTGGTTTCCCACATAGGAAAGTATATATGGATCTTCCTATCTCGTCGAGCTGAGTCGTTCGTCTGTCCATGTTAATTTGTAATCACGCTACAGGTCGCATATGGCCCGATCTTCACGAAATTCACGTAGGAAAATTTTCATTTTTTTGTCTACATTTTATCACTAAATATGCACCTTCAAAACAATAGTCTTCTATTCCGACACTATTCCATAGTGTTGCAGGGTATAAAAATATTAAAAACGAGTAGTTCGGCCGGGCCGAACTTTTAATACCGTCCACATTAGGGTAATAGAAACATTAGAATCAAATACCAATTTTTAGACATATTCGTGGGAAAATGTGGCAAAAATCATCAAAATACCGAATAACGGGAGGTACCGCTATATAGGGCTATACAAATACCTGGACCTATACGTACAATGTTGCGCCAACGGAGCTAGAACCTATTGTGACCAACTAATTTCAATTGAGGACGTGGACTTATACATGCAATGTTTTGCCACCGGACCTTGAACCCATTATGACCTAATAATACCAATTCTCAGACAAATCCGTGAAAAATGTGGCAAAAATCATCAAAACACCGAATATCGGGAGGTACCGCTATATTAGGGCTATACCAAAACGTGGACCTATACATGCAATGTTTTGCCACCGGAGCTAGAACCCACTATTACCAACAAATACCAATTTTTAGACAAATCCATGAAAAAATGCGGCAAAAATCATCAAAATGCCGAATATCGGTGGCGAACTATAATAATTGTTCGTCCAACACATTGCAATGCAACACTCCGCACGAGGCACAGTGTCAGCAATTATATTCATCATCATTGCTTAGTCAACACCAAACATACGAGCATTTATTCAACGTATTGCAATATAATAGTCCACAAAAAGGTGCAGAGTCAGCAGTAGAAAACAAAACTATAAGTTTATTCATAGCTTCAAGTATCCTAATAAGTTAGTTTGATAAGAGAACTGGAAAGAAGAAGGTGTAACAACACCATACAAATACCCAAAATACTTAACTTTCTTTGTTTACGATTTCCCACAGATTCTCTATTGGGTTTAAATCTGGGGATTGGGGTGGCCATTCCATTACCGTAACTCTATTATCGGCAAACCACGATTTGACCACCTTCGAAGCGTGTTTGGGGTCGTTGTCCTGTTGAAAGACCCACCGCAATGGCATATTATATTCTGCGTATGGGAGCATTACCCTTTGCAATATGTCTTTATACATAAATCTATCCATAATACCAACAATTCTATGCAGTGGGCCAACTCCAGCACCAGAAAAACAACCACACACCATTATATTACTCCCTCCATGCTTGACCGTTTTTTTATGGACCGTTTTATATGGGGGCTATACCAAAACGTGGACCTATACATGCAATTTTTCGCCACCGGAGCTAGAGCCCACTATTACCAACAAATACCAATTTTTAGACAAATCCATGAAAAAATGCGGCAAAAATCATCAAAATACCGAATATCGGAAGGTATCGTTATATGGGGGCTATACCAAAACGATATATGTCATTTTCAATACCAATCATCCTAGACACAACACAAATTATTCTGCTAAATTTTGACACTCTACGTCAAATAATGTGGCATATTTTTACGCAATTTTCTTAGATTTTATCCTATTCTGGCAAGAGGCCATTCCGAGTTGGTGAGAATTGTCAAAATCAGAGCCGCGGTTTTGAACTCATAAGCGGAATAACTAACATAAATTTCTGGTGCATATAGATTGTACCTATTTTGCTATGTTCCCGATATCTTGGCTATCAGTATCACTGTAACGGTCAGAAGTAACATTTTAATGTATTTGTAATTTCGCTGGGATTAAACATATTCGCGGTTTATTGGAATTTTTTGTATTTTTTCACATAAAAGTTATGGTATATTTTACCCGCTAAATGTTGTCCGATGACCAAACAAAATGTTAGACATCTGCCTAGCCCTAAACTCTAACCCCATGCCATAGGAAACTTTGTATCGATTTTTCTATCCCGCCGCGCGGATTCGATATAGCTATGTACAGGATGAGATAAAAGAACTGCAACAAAGTCAAACACCATAATTTTTACATTTTTTTAATTTTAATGAACGAAAGCAAAAAATGTCGGAAATAGCATAAAATTTTAGAAAAAGTTTAGATTTGTTCGAATTAGTCACCTTTGGCACGAATTATGGCCTTCAAACGGCCAATGAAACCGTCACACGTTGCCCAAATGTTGCTCTGCGGTATTTTGGCCATTCCCGGCGAAGCGCTGGCTTGAGGTGATCGACACTTTGGTATTTTATATTGCCAACCTTGCTTTTCCTGACCTCTTTGGCAAGTAAACACGATAATTTTAAGAAAATCGTTCCAAATAATTTTTCATTCATTGTGCAAGATCAACTTTCAAACCTACCTCTTAATCCGTATTTAACAGCGCAGTTTAATATTTTAACAAATCGTTATCATTCTGAAACACATTTCGAGAATATCGATCGAACAAGAAAATTGAAAAATAAAGCCAGACACTTCGATAAAACCAGCGCTCAAATACCACCACCGCTACCAACCACTAGTATCAAGTTTAGATATGATAGTTGTTGGTGGCACTACAAGCTACCGCGTAAAAGCAGCAGCACCAACAACTGTTAGTCGTTTACGTCGCAAACTTGGCTTCGCATTAAGCATTAGAATCCGATGAACAATATTAAGGGTTGTCTCCCAAGTCGGCGTCATCAATGGCTGCTGGTTGTTGTTTACGATTAGAGATGGAATTTACCGTGTACGGGTAAATACCCATTTTTTGGGTATTTATTCGGGTATTTTCTAATTTCACTAGTAATACAGTGTCTGGGAACCTATGTTTTGTTTAAGTTGGTAACACTCATCAAAATATGTACATGTTGTGTTCCAGAACCTGCAAATGTAATGCAAGCCACAAACGATACAACCGTTGTTACAACTTAGAGTTTAGAATACAGGTAGATGCATCAACGCTTGGGAGCATTGATATGTCAAAAAAATTTAAATGTTTTTTTCAAATATAAGTCGATTTTTAAATGTTTTCTTATACGACGTCATTCGGAGGTTATTATAATTCGCGTATTTAAACAATTTTTACAAATTTAAATAATTTTTCATACAACATTTTCAATTCCAAAATTGGTTTGACAGTTCATTGGCGAATATGATAAAAAGGGTGATTGGCTGAAATGTTAATTTTAAGGATTGCCACTAATTTTGACATTTTTACTAGGTTTCCGTTTCGATACTTTCTGGACAAAGCAGTTCTCTCAAAACAGATGAATTAAGAAGTTAACGTCGTGCAATAATATGTTTTCACTTTTTTTATACCCTCAGTCATATGGCTACAGAGGGTATATATCATTTGATACGTCCGTCTGTCTGTCTGTTTGTCTGGCTGGTGCGCACGATAACTCTCGAAGGGAGTATCCGATTTGGTCCAAACTTGGTACACCGTAATATTTTTGTCAAACTTAGATCGAGTTCGAAGATGGGCAATATCGGTCCACTCCTTCTGGTACCTCCCCCACAAAAGGTCGAAATTTGCAAAAAAATTATTCTTTGCACAGAAAGAGAAAGGAAAATCCGATTTTGCTCCAAATTTTGCAAATCTTAATATTTGCATCAGTGCTAGGTCAGGTGTGAAAATGGACAATATCGGTCCACTCCATCAATTACCTCCCCCACAAATGGTCAAAATTTTGAATAATTACAACTCTCATAAAATGTGATTTAAGAGTTCGATTGTCTTCAAATTTTACACATCCCAATATTTATATTAACAAAAGGTCTGGTGTTAAGATGAGCAATATCGGTCCATTCCTTCTGGTACCTCCCCCACAAAAGGTCGAAATTTGCAAAAAAAATATATTTTTTGCACAGAAAGAAATGAGATAATCCGATTTTGCTCCAACTTCGCAAATCCTAATATTTGCATCAGTTTTACGTTAGGTGTAAAAATGGGCAATATCGGTCCACTCCTTCTGGTACCTCCCCACAAAAGGTCGAAATTTGCAATTCATATATTTTTTGCACAGAAAGAGAAACGATGATCCGATTTTGGTCCAAGTTTGCAAATCCTAATATTTGCATCAATGCTAGGTCTGGTCCAAAAATGGACAATATCGGTTCACTCCTTCAAGTACCTCCCCCACAAATGGTCAACATTTTGAATAATTACAACTCTCATAAAATGTGATTTAACAGTTCGATTGTCTTCAAATTTCACCCATCCCAATCATTTTATTAGTCAAGGTCTGGTGCTAAGATGGAGTATATCGGTCCACTTCTTCTGGTACATCCCCCACAAATGGTCGAAATTTTAAAAATATATATTTTCTGCACAGAAAGGGAAGCAATAATCTAATTTTGAAAAACATAACACTCAAAGAAAGGGAAATAAGGATCCAACTCTCTTCAAATTTCACACATATAATAATTTTTGCTAACACCAGATCTATTGTGAAGATGCTATATAACTTCGAACACCTTCTGGCACCTTACCCACAAAGGGACACAATTTTCAATATTTTCATCTATCATAAATTGCGAAGCAACTCAGCGATTCTTTAAAATTGCTATATCCATCTACTATAATTTATTTTTATATATAAATAGTTTTATATATAATAATATTTAAATCATATTTATTTAGGTGGGATACGAAATGGATAATATTGAACGATTCTTTCAAAACCCACTCCATAGAGGGTGAATAGGGCTGAGGGTATACATCTGTCGGCAAAACCGACCGATACTTTTTTACTTGTTAAATTGTTCTTTTGACAACGTCTCATTGTCAAAATGTGTACTTGTATACCCATTGTATTCACACAAATCATGCGATGGGATTTGTCTTGGTAAACTACAGAATACGGATATCCTTATTTAAAATGACTTTACCTTTCTAATTCTTATTACTACTTGTATGCTTTAAAACACACAAGAGGACTCTACATAAGAGTTGCATTTTTCAACGATTTTTCGAAGCTGAACTACTTTTTTGTTTGTGCCATGTTTAACAGCATGTCATTGATCAGGGATGGAAACATGCTTTCTATGATAAACTACAAAAGATGCAAAGCTGGAATTTTTCATTTTAAATGAGGTTATCTTCTTAAAGAATTAGAAATACGCATACAAAAATTGGTCACTATAGGTCCACCTTTTTATATTGTATATGGTGTGAAATTCCCGGCATCCATATACTATAAAACGAATTGTAAAATAATGTAATAGATCGCGAACATAATTTGGATCGTTGAATACATGATACAAATAAATAAATGTAACCTTATTTCAAAGTAGCATTCCCAGCTCTGCATTTTCTGTAATTTACCTTGTCAAAATTCAATGCATAAAAAACAGTTCCCATCTCTGATTTTGTGTATATACAATGGATTTATGAATATAGATTTTTGACAAGGAGATTTTGTCGAATGTATACATTTAAAAAAATTATAAACATATGATTGCATAACTTTTTCCTTCTTAGTTCCACCATGGTTGAGGTGCCGCTTTATAAGCGATATAAGAAATAATAAACCTATTCGAGCAGTGTTTTACCACAGAAGACAGAACCAATTTCGCACTCTACATACTGAATTTTAAACAATCACCCATTAAAAATGAGGCTAAAATCATCAGAATACCGAATATCGAAAAGTACCGAAATATGGGGGCTAGAGGAAATCGTGAACCTGCCACTGGAGAAAGAACCAAATTGTCAACAAATCCGTTAGAAAATGTAGATGGAATCATCAGAAGGTACTGTTATATGAGTTCTATCGAAAAACGTGAACCTAAATAGACTATAATCTGACTCAAAGGGCCATAAATCATCCAAATACTGTATGTATGGCGGCTATAAAAACTTTAACATATATAGAAATTGTTCTTCTACACATTACAAATTTTGAGAATGATTATTTGAGAATGATAGATGAGTTCCAATATAAAGAGATTACCTTGTTAAGTCTGCCATGACAAAGAACAAAAATTGTTTATTCCCAGCATTTTGGTAAATAACCGGGTATTTCCCATTTTTGCCCAGTTTACCTGGTCTTTATACACCGAACATCTCTATTGATGACATTGATGCTGTCGACGTTGGCGTCGACGCTTAACTGACCGCTCGTTCAAGCCATTTCACTTGTATCGAAAAAAAACCGATAAAAGCTCATTCAGATCACTGCTGTGGAACAGTTTACGCTCAACTTAGATTTCAAAGAGTTATACAAAAAGCAAATACCTGCTACCAACGGACATTTCTGTGTCGGCTGTGAATGGATTAAAAACAAAATATTGAAAAGTGATTATCGAAAATTACTTGACATTTGAAACAATCTAACGCAAAATAAACTTCCTTGCAAATGCTCGTTTGGAATGATAGTCAAGATACCAATTTTAAATTCATTTGATTCATTTTCCTATACAATACTCCGCGTGCTGTAAACATTTCTAAAGAAAAGTGATAAATTGTGATATAGTATTCTGAATAAGTCGTAAGGATTTTCTTGTCCTTTATTGAAACTGAACAGGAAACAGCGATTAAATATTGAAATTATTTATTTGTTTAAAAAAAAACTCCACCTTAAAAATAGTAAATTTACGTGATAATGCTTACAACTGGTTTGGAAAATAACATCAACGCATCTAGTCCCGCTCACACAAATAAAGGACGTACATCATGGAATCTGAAAACCTCGACTTTGGCTAAAGACACCATAAATCGTATTCGCATTATTGTGGAATCATTGAAAATTTCTCCGAATCCAGACAAACCAATGATACCCTTGACAATTGGTAAGCGAGTGATTTCTTCTGCAGTTACAGTTCTCTGTTTTATTTGTTTTAGCGTGGAAAATTTTTGAGTGCTTTATTTGGATTTTAAAAGTGATTTTTTTTTATTTGCCAAGTGTGTTATTTAACCCTTAAAAAATGAAAAAAAAACCGTGTGTGTGTGTTCCAATGGCAAAATTTTCAAAGAATAAAATGGTAAAAACTTCAAAAATATAGTTGATTCTTGTTTGTTTTCAGAGCAAATTTTAGATTCAAAATAGAATATATCGAATCTGAACAAAACTATGTTAAATATTTAGTACTTCTTGGGGAATATTCCATTTATCACCCACGTGCCCGTCTTCGAAGAAAAGTTCGGAATCTAATTACTTTTTATTTCAATTTATCTATTCCCCGAACAGTTCCTCCTTGGCATAAACGAATGCATGTCAAAGGGTTAATAATACTATGAAATGGATTTTTTTTTTTTTTTGAAAATTTACTTGACACAATTTTTTACGCAATTATGAAATAAACAACTCAAACCAGTTTTTCTTTTTCTCGATTTTCTTAACGAAAGCCAAAAAATACTTGGAGGATATAAAATAAATTATTAAAAAGAGATAACTGGTTATTAATAAATAAATTTTTGAGTTCTGCAAACAATGTCACACATACGCATTCAACATTTCATAATGCGTTGCAAGTCCTAGTAAGCTACTGAGAAGGTATTTTTTTCTATACATAGCAAGCTATTTATAAACTAGTTTCCAACATCTTTTGTCTTCCGGAGGGAAAAATTCGGTATTCTTTCGCCGGGGGCATTTCGTTAGGGACATTTTATGGTCAACCTACGTCTCTATGGCCATTTTTTGAACGACCCGGCAGGCTACTTCGACATCAAATATACTATGGAGGGTATATTAATTTTGTCATTCCGTTTGTAACTCCTCGAAATATTCATGTCAGACCCAACAAAGTATATATATTCTTGATCAGCGTAAAATTCTAAGACGATTTAGCCATGTCCGTCTGTCTGTCTGTGTGTCTGTCTGTCTGTCCGTCTGTCTGTCTGTCTGTCTGTCTGCTGTAATCACGCTATCTTTCGAACAAATTGAGATAGAAGGCAAAAATTTTGCACACATGTATTTTTTCCCAGTAGGCAGGTTAAGTTCGTAAATGGGCCATGTAGGTCCAAGTTATCATATAGCCCCCATATAACGGTACCTCCCGATATTCGGTATTTTGATGATTTTAGCGACATTATTCACCGGAATTATTTCAAATTTGGCATTTGAAGTTCGTAATGGATACTACAGCGTAAGACAGAAAATTATCTCTGCAGGTCCACGTCTTCCTGTAGGCCCCATATAACGGTACCCCCCGATATTCGGTTTTTTGATGATTTTAGCGACATTGTTTACCGGAATCGTTTCAAATTTGGTATTTGAAGTTCGTAATGGATACTACATCCTAAGTCAAAAAATGAGCCATGTAGGTCCACGTCTTCATATAGCCCCCATATACCGTAACCCCCGATATTCGGTATTTTGATGATTTTAGCGACATTATTTAGCGGAATTGTTCCAAATTTGGTATTTGAAGTTCGTAATAGATACTGCAGCATAAAACAGAAAATGGGTCATGTAGGTCGACGTCTTCATATAGCCCCCATATAACGGTACCCCCCTGATATTCGGTATTTTAATGATTTTAGCGACGTTATTTAAGGGGATTGTTTCAAATTTCGTATGTGAAGTTCGTAATGGATACTTCAGCCCATGCCAGAAAATTGTCTGTGCAAGTCCACGTCTTCGTATAGCCCCCATATAACGGTACCCCCCATATTCGGTATTTTGACGATTTTAGCTACATTACAAACAGATTTTTCTTCAAGTTTCGCATTTAAATATTGTAATAATTTATGACAAAAGTTGCCTATGCAGGCCCACGTCGTCGTATAAACATTCGGTATTTTTAAGATTTTAACAAAATTTTTAACGGGTTTTATTTTTTGGAAATTGCCAAATTTGTACCAAATGGTGGAGGGTATTAAAAGTTCGGCCCGGCCGAACTTACAGCTTTTTTACTTGTTATTTATGGGTGGTATCATGAATAGCAATATTAAAGATATTGTTGTTCAGTTAAAAAAAAAACGAAGAAGACAGTTCCTGATAGGACTTTTTAGTACTCAAAATGCACAATTTGTTCAGTTTGACAAAATATTTATATCAAAACTTAACACATCGTACTAAATTTTTAGATTTTTAGATATCACCAAAGATTTATATATCACCAAGAAGTCTTCAAAATTTTCAGTTTGAAGTGTACCGTGGAGGTTATTGGTAAAATCATTGCACCACATCCATGTTTCTGTCCATAACTATTTCCATATGTAAACCCTACAATTCTATCCCTTCACCCAATACCGAAATAAGTAACATTTAGTATGCACATCCGAAACAATCTACATCTTTCCATGCGAGGCACAAACAGTGGCCCAAAATTAGTGCCATTTAGTATGCTTCGAACAATTATAGTACACATTTGCAAAACCACCACCAGATATCAACACTAGATACAAACAGAGGTCAATATCAAATTCAGTGTTAAATTTGTAGTACTTTTTGTACAATTTCAGTACTCATTTGCATATGCCCATCCTAGACGCCAAAAGTGGTACAAAATTAGTACTTTTCGTACAATTGTGTATTAATTTTTTTAAGTACATTTTAGTAATTTTCGTTCCATTTTAAGCACGAATTTCCAAAAACTTCTACGCACCAAGACTGACCCTCGTGCAAAGTTTCAATATTCTAACTTCAGCTGTTTCGTCTGGCGTTTAACTCTCAGCCAGTCAGTCAGTTTATATATATATAGATTACTGATAACAATACAAAGATTATTCTGGTCGAAAATGTTAACCTCGAGTGGGTCAGCAAATGGCTCTTTTTTCTCTATCTACAGAATTATTCTGATTGTAAATATGTCACTTGCGGTATATGTAAAGGGTGAGATAAAAAACTCACTCAATATTTTCGCATTTATTCTGGTGCCACGGTCGATTAATACGAGCGGAGAGCGACCATCGGCTGTTATGGCGGCCCACATTTTTACCATGGCCGGCGCTTGAGTTCTGGTGGCCAACCGAAGGTGCACATTTTCAGTTGACCTCTATGACAAGTAAACACGATCATTTTTTTGTTTGCAAACTGCTAGACAACGAGTGTTTTCTCATCGGAGAAAACCAAATTCGGCAGTTCACCACTTTCGGCCAAGCGAATAGACTCTTTTGAGTCTATTTTCTTTCTGTTGCGGTGCAGCTTCTTTTTGCACTTTTTGGAATTTCAATGGCTTTGCCGAATGAAATATTGAGCCATTTTCGGCCACTGCGACGCGGGTTTCGATCAAGTCGCTTATTTACTTTTCGAACCATTTCTGCTGATGTTTCTGATTTCTTCCGTCCACTTCCTTGACGTCGGGCTACGCTACCAGTGTCACGGTAACGAGCGATGGTACGAGAAACAAAAGATTTATTCATATTTTAATGCTGGAGTGCTCTAACGATAGCCACTTGTGGTTTTCCACCCAAATATTAAGAAATCACACTATCACGCTTGAATTCCTTCACGAATAACTTTTTTTTGGAAAATTCTTACCAAAATGCTATTGTACGCCTGTAAACAATATAATGAGCTGTCACTGAAATAATTTTAACAGCTATGGCTTTGTCCATAACAGCATTCTGAAATAAGTTGCAGTTTTTTATCTCACCCGGTATATATTGTTATGTTCCAAAACCTGCAAGAATCTATTATCTATTTTTGCAATTTCTTTGGATGCCATGAAGGGAATTCGGTTATCGTCGCAAAAATGTTTACATTCTTGTATTTTAAATACATACATGTATGTAGCATGTGTTCCAATGAATAGGGTTAAATAAAACACCTATAACTAAGTGAAGCGTTACATTACATCAGGCGGTATGTATTTCAAAAAACAAATAGTTTAATTGTTTCGTCTTTCAGCGAGGAACGATAAGTATTATCCATGGAATTACAATGTATTCGTAATTGCAAGTAAACCGATTAACTCATTCATAAATATTTGAGGAAAATGCTATTATTAATAAATTGCATAATTCAATAATTCAAACACTTTCGTTTTTTGATTTTAGATTAAAAAATTCGATTTTTCCAGTTTCATATGCATTCATCAACTCAGATAACTGCACAAGCGTCTTATACATTTAAAATAGGTTGGTTCGTCTACTTTTCCAGTAACATTTACTTGATAATAATTTACTGAAAAAACAAGATGTTTTCTCTCTCAAGAAAAAAAATTACAAAAAGCAAACGAACAGCATCCTGCAAAATATTTGTACCTGATCCATCGAAACAACTTTGGCGCAAATGTTAACAGCAGAAATATCTTGATGTATATTTTACATTTTCATTACAAAAATATTGGATAATAAAAGAAAACTTGACTTAGTTTGCTCATCCGGAAAACAAAGATATCGTCGGCCAATATTATCTATTATTCCTACAACTCCAATTGATATAGGCATTGATAATGGTGTTCCACGGATCCACAATTTTTTAGCTGGATTTGACACCTAAAAAAACAAAAAGCTCATCATCTGCTGTTAAATTATTTATTTTTTATCTTTACTTACGTTTTCCTTATCTATTGTTGTTAATAATTTGTATAAGATTTTTTCGCAATATATAGATTTGTTAAATTTGTTTGTTTGTTTACAAAATCTTCCCAGTAAGAATTTGCAAACTCTCAGTAACTCAAATGTCTCTCTAATTTCGCACTTACTGGACTTTTAGATAAACTTAAAAATTTCATTAAAAATTTGTACAACTTATAGAGTAAATGAACACTCCTAATAGTAACCTGACTACGTCACAGGTTGGGTATGTTTTTATTTTTAGTGAAGCATCATTCATAAAACTATTAACATTCATAAATCCCTAACGCATATCAACATGCATAAAATGTTGACAATATTTACC